AATGTCAACTTTTTTTTCTTTGAGGGTTAAACCAACCTAAGAAAGAAAACTGCCTGTGTTTGGCTACTTCTCAGACTATTAGCGTTCTCTTCAATAGTTTATTTCTGAATTAATATCCAACCCGCATTAGGACGGAGTATTAGGGCCAGGCTAGAGTTTTTTTTTTTTTTAAAGAACAAAGTTATAGAATTATAATAAAGTTGTAATATTAGAAGAATAAAATCGTAACATTATGAGAATAAAGTTGTACATTTCCGAGAATAAAGTTGAAAAATTACGAGAATGAAGTCATCCTACTACAACCCGTTTCAAAAAGAAAGCTTTGAGCTCCGATTAACATATGAAGGCCAACCAGCACCACTTTAATATACTGACCAATTTGATGCTGCTGCACTAAAAGATTTCCTTATTTGTTAAACCGATGCCAAAGTATAACTTCACATAATGCTCAACATTCTTCCTTAAAGGGAAGAAAGTGCTTTTTGTAAAGTTGTCATAAAATAAAGCTTTATTCTTGTAATATAAGGACTTTAATCGCATAATATGACAACTTTATTCTCGTAATGTTGCGAGATAATTCTTGCAATTTTATGACTTTATACTCCTAATTTTATGACTTTATTCTGGTAATATTACGACTTTATTCTCGTTATGTTGCAACTTTATTCTTGTAGTATTAAGAATTTATTCTTGTAATGTTGCAACTTTATTCTCGTAAATTACATTTTTCTTGTAATATTACGACTTTATTCTTGTAATGTTGCAACATGATTCTTGCAATTTTATGACTTTATTGTCCTAATATGACGACTTTATTCTCGTAATATTAAGACTTTATTACCCTATTGTTTCAACTTTATTCTCATATTTCTATGACTTTATTCTCATAATATTATGACTTTATTTTCGATTTGAAAAAAAAAAAACTCTAGCCTCTCCCTAATACTCCGTCATACCACGTATCTCTGTCAGCAAAGTACAACTTTATAAACATGATGCTGCAAACAAAATAAAAAAAAGGCTAAAAAGTAGCTGATAACTTTCCTCACTTTTTATTTCATTAATATAAACATTGAAGCTAATGTTAGCTTAGCTCACATAAAGTTCCAAATTTAACATATATTATTTAAGAACATATTTATGTAATACTCTCAGAACACTTTCATTTTCACTGTGTTAAACTAACATGCTTTATGATGACTTAACCAATTTTTTTTTCAGCTCTTAGCTTGAAGATGCTTTGCTAACTTAGCTGCTACTAGCAAGAATACGGTAGAGATGGGTTTTCCTAAAAAGTATTGTAGTCAATATAAGACTGTTTCTCAAATAGTATAAATGCACAGAAAGAGGTTCATACAAGAGTGGGGAAAAATCTACTGGTGTAGAAAAAGCAAGAAAGTTCAGAGAAGGAACATGAACTTATGATTGTGACATATTAAAGGTCTCACAGTCATTCAACTGAACACAAAAACATTCAAAATGGACGTGGAGAGGAGTTTTTGTGCATGTGTTTCGACTAAACCTGCTCATATGAATATTTAATACATGTGTGTATTTTTGGCAACATTCTGACTTCATATAAAACTTCTTCCTCACCAGACTTTAACTAAGAAAATCATTCAAATGAAAAAAAAAAAAAAAAAAAATCTCTTCACTATGCTGCCACTTTTTTGGAAAAACTTTTCAACCACAAAAACTGAAGTCCAGTTATTTAGTTTTTGGAGTTATCACTGAGGATCTTCATCCGTTATGGCCTCCACAACTGTCATTTTAACAGTTTTTCCTTCCACTTAATTTCAAATTAATATAAATACAGCTCTCTTTAACAAACCAGCTTATTTAGAAAGGAGGTTTGATGGGTGTTTTTCACTAATAGTACTTTAGGCCAGGGTTCTGCACCTTATGGCTCCAGAGGAAGAGCTCTTTTGACCCTCGATAATGTAAAGTTTAAAAATATCAAAATATCTACCTATTGATTACAACAACAAATGCAGGTTTCAGCAGATTGTTCTGATGGAATAATTGCATAAAATTTCTTCAATTAATTATATTTAATTTATTTTAAGACGGAGGTCTTCAACAGGGGTCTTCGACCCCTAGGGGGTCCATGGAGGTACTTGTGGCTTTGGTTGATTAGGCCTTTTTTGTTTAATATTCCCCCCTGCATTTTTTTTCCACTACTTGAAATGTCTTTAAATACACGTTAACTTGAATTCAACACACTGTAGTAAACAGATAAATGGAGGCAGAAGATGTCTTTCAGTCCTCAATGCACACATTCAGCGACACACAGGAGCTCTTTCAAGCTGGGCACCGTTTCTTTCACAACACCTGGAATCACAATCAGAAATGCTTTACTAATCCCAGGGTGAAATTACTTTAGTTACATGACTCCATCTGTAATAGAGTGACTATAGGACCAGTTTGATATAACACAATTTCATACATTATATATAATTAGGGGGTCCCCGCTGCATCTCGACATCAGTTTGGGGGCCATTGGCCTGGAAAATGTTGAAGACCCCTGTTTTAAGAAGTGAATAAAATTATCTTATGATTTGATAAATTATTTTATGTTGCTGTGCAGGAGCACAACATGAATTGATTTCAAATGAAACACATTCATCAAAGTCAGGGAGGCGGGACTAGGATGCTGCTCCCATAGAAACCCTGATGACAACTCCTTCCTTTTGTTTTATTCTAAAGTCAAAATTTTGTTTACATCATGTCTGTAATTCTAAGAAGCTGCATTTTGTCCTTCATCTGTTTTTTATTAGCTGTCAATCTTCAAAAACATTGAGTTTAATTTCTTAATATATTATTATATAATGAAAAACCTTTTATATGGTATTATAATTTATTGAGATATATCTATCAACGATGCTTTTATTTACATTATATCCAAGATAAAATCAATAAGACAAAACTAACTCTGGATAAACTACAGTTTTATCTTTACATTATTGCTGCTATCTTTCCATCTTGGCAAATCCAGATGCTTTGTTTTAGTTTTTGCTTATATTGCAGGTTTGTGTTGATTTCTTCTTCTTCTCCCTGCAGAGTGTGATTTTGAGGAGCCTCTTCTGTGTGGCTACAATAACCAGTGGAACGTTAATGTAAACTGGTATGTGGGAGGTGGTGGAGTTCAACTGGTTCACAACAACATGCCGAAAGATCACACATACCACAACAAGACAGGTGAGGGATGTTTCTGCTGATTGTTTTCAACAGGAATCGGTTGTGCAATTTAAAAGTCTGTTAAACAAAAAAATAAAACTTAACCAAATATTAACACATTACTTTCAGACAGAGGAAAACAAACCAGCAGAGAATGGTAGATTTCAAAGCTGCAAACATGCAATTAGAAGCATCTTCACCTTGGATTATAGTAATTTAGGATCTGTGGAAACAATCCCAGCTGACGCAGAGAGCCTGAAAGCTTCTGCTGATGCTTCAATCTGTCAGGTTTCTGTTATAGTATTCAGTCTTGCTTTACTCCTTGCTGTGTTCTTTGTTTTTTACTGTCCTAGTCTGGGTTCTGTTATGTTTTCTTTTGAGTGGTTAGTTTTCTTTTCTCCATGTTTTATAGTCCTAGTAATTTAACATTTTGTTGTTATTTCCAGTCTTCCAGGTTTCTATTTGTTGCTCTCTGCTGCCCTCTTGTGTTCTTCTTCTTCCCTAGCTCTTTCCCTCTTGTTCTGTGCACACCTGCTCCCAGTTTCCTCATTAGCCCCCTCTTTGTCTCTGTCTTCTTTAAAAGCCCTCTCTCTTCAGTTCCCTTTTGCTGGGTCCTTGTCAAACACTGCCAAACTTTGTCAAACTTCCTCCAACTCCGTCTTCCTCATTGTGACAGTGATTCCCCTGATGTCTCCACGGTTTCTGGTTAGCTTTGACTAGTTTTTATGTTTGATTCTTTTGGATTTTTGGACTCCTGATTTAATGCTTGTTTGGACATCGTTTACATTATTGGATTTTTGGATAACCTGCCTTTGTTTTCAGTTTCCCTTTTTAATTAAATCTAAAGAAATTCACCTCTGCCTTCCTGCCTCTGCTTTTGGGTCAACACTCCATAACCAAATTCTGACACAATCCAGAAAACTTTCTGGCTGTTAGAGGTGGGCGGATCGATCTTAGGATCGATACCAACGCTGGCATTGATATTGAACAATATTGGTTTAGCAAGATCGATACTTTTTATTCTCTCCGCAATAACTGCAGCAGATTCACGAGTCTCCCCGCCTGTGTCACAGCATTTTGTTGCTCCCCCCTCGTCACCAGCATGCAGGCTCAGCCTGGCCTGCACACTCAGCTCTCTGTTCACTCGACACACAAACAACCGCGGCGCTGCTCCTCAGATGCTGGAGCAGAAAAAGATGAAGAAGAGGGAACGAGGCACCATTTGGCTATATTTTAATGCCCTAGATTAAACAACGGGAAGATTTATGGTTTGTAAAAAGCCGGTTAAATGCAGTGGAAACACAACAAGTTTATATAAGCACATGGAAAAACCATGAGCAAGAAAACACTGAGCTACAGAGACGGAGAGAGGAGAGAAAATTTCGCTCGTTGCTCCGACAGACCCTCGACCCTGATCGACGTTTATAGAATTAAAGCAACAAGCAAGTTCACACAATAAAAACAAAATTAGATAAGGAAAGATAAGATGAAAGATATTATATAGGAGGTAGATTAGGAAAAAACACTATGAATAGAATATTATTAAAACTATTATTATTCAGTTGTAACAATAGAATAAAAATCACCAAAAGGTCAGCAGTTGCATGATACATAAAGTTTAAATATAAAAAGTATCGGTATCGAAACGTTCATTGGCTTCCTGTTAAATCCAGAATAGAATTTAAAATCCTCCTTCTAACATATAAAGCCTTAAATGGCCAAGCTCCATCTTATATCAGAGATATGATTGTTTCTTATGTTCCTAACAGAGCACTTCGCTCTCAATCTGCAGGTTTACTAGTGGTTCCTAGAATTTCTAAAAGTAGAATGGGAGGCAGATCTTTTAGTTATCAGGCTCCTCTCCTGTGGAACCAACTACCAGTTTTACTCCGTGAGGCAGACACCCTGTCTACTTTTAAGACTAGGCTTAAAACTTTCCTTTTTGATAAAGCTTATTGTTAGAGTGGCTCAGATTATCCTGAGCTATCTCTATAGTTATGCTGCTATAGGCTTAGACTGCTGGAGGACATAGGGACCCCCATTTCTTCATTCTGCTTCATTCTATCTCTATTCTCCCACTCTGCAGAATCTGTCTCATAGTAGCTTTGCCTCATCTGTTAGTGTTTAGCTGTGAAGAAATATCAGGTGTGGTGCTGCCATCATCACCCTTGTTTATAGATGCTAGAGATCGGCCTGTTTTCCAGTGTAGTCCTTTTTTTCTGACCTTGACTGGCTGGATGTGGTCTCTTCATCCTCTGACATGGTAGCCGGCTCGGAGCTTGTCTGCCTGGCTGTGTGTTTCCTGGTCGGGGCCGCCTTTTACAGCTGCTTTTTGTATCTCTGCTTCCGTCTCCTTGAACCCCAGTCGGCCTCGGCAGATGGCCGCTCACACTGAGCCTGGTTCTGCTGGAGGTTTCTTCCTGTTAAAAGGGAGTTTTTCCTCTCCACTGTTGCCACAAGCATGCTTAGTGTGAGGGATTGCATTCGAGTCAATGAGTCGATGCAATCAACTGGTTTTTCTTAGATAGAAAATGTGTTCTGGTGAACTGTAAAGTGCCTTGAAATGACTTGTGTTGTGAATTGGTGCTATAGAAATAAACTGAATTTAATTTAATTGAAATCGGTGAAATGTGGCCCCGTATTTACTTGGTATCATATCGATTAAAAATTCCCTGTATCGCCCACCTCTACTGGCTGTGATGAATCTCTCAGATTTGTGCCTCCTCCTTAGGTCACTTCATGTACGTCGACTCCAGTTATGCAAAGACGTTCAAAGAGGTCGCCAAGCTTGTCTCTCCAATGACGACGGTGCCCATGTCTGGCTGCCTGAGTTTCCAGTACCAGCGCAGTGAGGAAAGAGGAAACCTTTTCACTGTTTATACGCGAGACCGCCTTGGCCAGTACCAGGAGCTGTGGAGGGCGGAGTCCGAGACCCAGGTGGATTTTAGCGGCACTCCAGGAGAGTGGATACCTGTGCAGGTGGACCTGAAGGCACCATATGCAGTGCAGGTCAGGAAACGACACATGTTCAGCATCATATGTTGGCTTTTGCTTTAACAGAACACCGCCTTAGACCCATTATTTGCTTCTAGTTTTATCCATCCATCCATCCATCCATCCATCCATCCATCCATCCATCCATCCATCCATCCATCCATCCATCTTACACTTGTCCAAGATTAGTGCTGGACCACTGGAGCACTCACTAGCTCCAACTCTGGGATCCCAAAGAGGGATATATTGCCCTCCAGGGGTTTTCAGGTCTGCCCTTGTGCTTCCCACAAGTAGGACATCCCAGTAAAACCTCCAAAGGAAACTTTAGAGGAATTATCCCACCTTAACAAAACCCATTGATGCGAAAGAGTAGAGACCCTCCAGTTGGATGACGGGGCTCTGATGGTGCATTCCCACCAAGGAAGTTGACCGCTCTGCATTTCAGATGCATAGAAGGGAGACCTCTGCTTCACCACGGACCGCGTCATCAAATAAGAGGAGCTTGAGCTTCTATCTGCTTCATAGTTTCCACTCAACATCGCTGAACAAGATTTGCTGCTTTTTGCTTCTTTTGCTGGTGAAAGCCTTATAGATGCCTTTACGTCTATAAGTCCACTTGATTCTCTAGAGACAGAACCAGTGTGGGGAATAACACCACTTACTGCAAGACCAGCGTCGGGGTGACGGTCCGATTGGCGGCACTTCCTTGTATCTAGTCAGGCAGAGAGCACCAGTGCTGGGGAGAGGCAGCGGCTCAGCTCGGGGTCTGCACTGGAACTGGGATGACGAATTACTTTTTAAAAGCCAACTAAAAACCTCTTAGGATCAAACCTATTTCATCCTTCAACATTATTTTCTCTATATATCTTCATTTTGATCGTGCAAAGGTGATGTCCACCTTGGTGCCACTTCGAGAACCTAGCTGTCTGTCATAATGGGCTTTAAAGATCTGACCCACATGCAGAGAACCACTCAGAGACCAAGGGTAAAAGTTTAACTGGTTTATTGTTGGTTTGCAAATACTGATGGAGATGAAACTCTGTGGGGAAACAATGCTGGAACTCAGCGGACTGGTGAACCGGAACCGGAAACTCTGAAGGGGAGATCACAGTGATCAGTTCAGGGACAGTGGGAAAATAGACTGAGACTTGAGTATTGCTGCAGAGGCACTCACTTTTGGGCGGCCCTTGGTTTATCCTTGGATCCAGTTTGTGGGGGTTTAATCCAGAGAAGAGGGAACTCGTTGGAGAGCAGACAGGCAGACATACGTTGGACCCAGAGGAGTAAAGGAGCGGACTGTCACTTGGTTTTCCAGGAGTAGACTTGAACAGATCGTTTGGAGGTTTTCCCCTTGCTCAGTGAGACTCAGTAAATCCTTCCAGGGGTAGAAGGTCCAGGCTTATTCAGTAACACAGGAAGTCTTCCTGCCGAAGAACAAAGTCAAAAAAGAAGTTCAGACTCAGAGAAAGAATGCTAAGGTTAGACTCTGCTAATCTCAGTTTGGCTAGAGTACCCAATACTGGCAAACACTCTGGCGTCGAGGTGGTGACAGCCCACTGCTCAAGTACTCCTCTGGTAATGACCCAACGAGCCGCAGGTGTGCAGGGAGGCCCAACGAGGACAGAGCACCGCCTGGTGGTGGAGAGAGGAAAACACAAAAAAACTAAGCAACTAAAACTAAGCAAATCACAGCTGTCCAGTTATTTCTTCCAATTTATATCACATCCCGTACTAAACCAATAGCTAATCTTAGATGCAGTAACCCCCTTTTAACCTGAGGAGGGTGCCAGACAGGTTGTTTTAGACACTACAGCAGGATTGCAACAAATCTTTAGTAAACTGTCAGAATAATGCCAAAACTATGAGAGATCTATTTATACAGTTTATAAACAGAGACTAAAATTTAAGACATTAAATCTGCAATGTAATCCCAGCATATACACTGGAAAATACATGCAGCTCTTTTATAATGGTTTTCTGTATTTCTTTATAAACCCTCAGATGGTTTTTGAAGTGGGCTTCAATAGCCCAAGAGGTGGACACGTTGCCGTTGATGACATTTCCTTCTCTCCAGAGTTTTGCAACAGAGACACAGGTGAGCTGTGGACTTCTATCCTCATAACTAAAGTGTCAGAGTTTTTATTTCTACCCTAATGAGCCACGCAGCACAACATATTCTCATTATCAGTGCGTATGAAATCGTACGAATAGTTATGCACACTATTTCGTATGTTTTGGACATTTTTCCTCAAAAAACCACATCAGTGCGCATGCGCTGGCAGACAGAAAAAAAAAGCAGATCCGCGGACGGACGTAAAATTGGGAAAAACAGTGCAATCAGCACTTATTCATGTCTCTAACTACGTTGCTTGCTGTTTTATACTTTAGGGTTATGGTTAGGGTCAGGGTTAGGGCTAATTGTGATTTATATTCTAGATTCGTGAATGGTGCGCGTACGACAAAAGAAACGTCCAAAACGTACGAAATTACGGTCCATAACTTTTCGTACGATTTCATACGCACTCATAATGATAATAGGTTGCGCAGCAGGCTTATGAAAATCTAGAAAAGCCGAAAGTGCCACAGGAATCATTTCTCAAAGAGTTCTAATCTATGGCCTTACTTCGACAGAGCCAACCTTCGACCCCTCCATCGCCAACTGTGATTTTGAATCTGGTCTCTGCCTCTACACCCAGGACCGGGCGTTCGGCTCGTCATGGCGGAGAGTGTCGGTGAAACCTAACATATTCAGGAATGGAGACCACACCACAGGAGCAGGTGGGAGAAACAAAGAACCAACAAGATGGGAGAAACACACAACCAACAACATGGGGGAAAAAATACAACTGAAAAAGGAGTCCAATACATTCTTTGCAGATCCATGATTTTATATAGGCTACCATAAAAATTACTTTAAATCTCATTATTTATTACTTTGAGAATCAAAATTATGGTTTTGTATCATCATTATGATTATATCTCATAATTACTGAGTCAAACCTATGACTTTAATCTCATAATTATATTGTGCCTTTTTTTTACTTGAAGTGACAGAAGTTACCGTAACTTCCATAGGTTTTACATACCTAGCTGACATGAATATAAATTTATCTGAATTTTAATAACAAAAGGAATTCAGATAAAATTGGGATAAAAAATGACTAACTTTAGCTTACATTATGAACTCATATACCATGATTCTTTAAAAATAATTTCAACAAAAGTATCATTCTGTTATTTTTAATGAAAATCCAATTAAACAAGTGTAAATTTCTTCATGATTTTACCTTTAATTACCTTTAATTTAATATCAGCCTAAATGTTTATTGTAAAATTTTACTTAGCCGCATCTCGAACCATTTAATACCTAATTAAACGGGTTAGCTTAGGTGGCTACTCTGAATTCATCAAACATTTTTCTTCACAGGCTTCCACTATAAAAAAATTCCTGGTGTTTAGTGTGTATTATAATGGGTAGAGACTACCCCATTAGCCTATTTGTGATTTAGATCTAATCTAAATTTTAGAATTGGTGGGATGTCTGAGAGTTTCCCCAATGACTTTATTGCTAGCAATAAACCATTTCTTTCTAATCAAGTTTTCCTAATTTTGAGATTTGAGAAATAAAATACTTTATTTGCCAGTAACTCTAGAAAAGATGTCAAAGTTCATGGCTTTTTCTGTTTTTTGGGACATAGCAAAGAGACTTCCAGTGGTATCCAAGGTTGGCCTATTGGGAAAATCTTCTTCTCTAGTCTTTATATATATTCCAAGCTGCAGATAAAAATAACATAGATGTCACACAGGAGATGTAGTATCACAATTGCTGACAGCAACCTAACCAAATTGGTTAAATAATGCTTTTAGCAGACAAAAGCCAATAGATGATGATTAAAGATTTGACATACAGTGTCTATGTGATGTGTTAATAGAAGTTCACTTAATCATGTATGGTGAAGCCAAGATAATTGGAGGTACTGATCTGTTTATTAGAACAGAATGGTAATCTGATAAAGGAAGACTTTGATGTGTGTGTGAGACTAAAGCTTTAGCTTTGTAAATGTTGAGTTGGAGATGGTTATCCAAACACCACAGGAAAAAATCTGATTCAAATTGCTAAACTGTGATGGGAATATTGTCTCTCAGTAACCCTGCTATCACTGTGTCATTGCATATTTGTAGTATTTGATGGCGAATGGTGAACTCTGGCAGACATTTCTGTAGAGAGAATACAAAAGGGACTGAGTACACAACCCTGAGGGGCCCCAGTGTTGGTAATGATGGTTGATGATATTGTTGTATGTATTTTTATTCTCTGAAGCCTATTTCTGAGGAATTTTAAACCCAGTGTTTAATGATGACATTTAGAGGCTGTAGTTTCTTAATGAGGTGATAGTGGTTGGATTGTATTAAATGGTCGACAAACATAAACAACTCAAAGTTGTTAAGTGTCTGAAGATAGTCGAGGAGGGAGTGGAGAAAGGAGGCTAATGCATCCTTTGATCTTTTTGGTTCGTTTACAAACCTGGACGAGTTTAGTAGGGGGCTAACATGTACTAAGATGAAGTATGATTCATTTCCCAGGCATTCCCAGGCATGTTTCCTGGACGGGGCCGCCTATTACAGCTGCTTTTGTGTCTCTGCTTCCGTCTTCTTGAACTCAGTCGGCCTCGGCAGATGGCCGCTCACACTGAGCCTGGTTCTGCTGGAGGTTTCTTCCTGTTAAAGGGAGTTTTTCCTCTCCACTGTCGCTACAAGCATGCTTAGTGTGAGGGATTGTATTGAGTCAATGAGTCGATGCAATCAACTGGTTTTCCTTAGATGGAGAACTTTGTATCAATTTGACTTTATGATCTGGTTGAACTGTGAAGTGCCTTGAGATGACATGTGTTGTGAATTTGGCGCTATATAAATAAACTGAATTGAAACTGAATTGAATTGAATTTCATAACTATAGTGCAACAAGGTGAATGTGGTTGGGGTCTTTAGGATAGTAGTTTTTGGGAAAACAGCGTGAAAAGATCAGGGGTGAGTATTGGCATGAGTGTTGAGATACGATACGTGTCACAATACTTGGGTCACGATACAATATTGTACCAATATTGTAATATCACTATCAGCTTCATTACGCGGTGTTTTAATAGCGTTTGACCAATGGGCCTTGGCAGTTTCTCTCCTGGTCAGCTCCTACCAGGCTCGCACTGGGAACGATTTTAGGCTCTGGCATTTTTCCATGTACACCAGCCCACTTAGGGTCCCATTTTATCTATAGACGGCCATCCTAAACTGGCAGATTGAGAAAAATCCCAACCTGGCAACAATGCACCAAAGACGGAAAACGCTAACCTTTAGATGCAAAGCCCCATCATGCACCGCAACAAGTTTTTGCAAAATATTTTAACATAAATTCGCCAAATATAAGAGGATCATCGTAGTTTGGTTTAAAGAAAGCATTTTTGATTTATTATAATTTAGTTTGTTGCAAGGATTTTAAAGTTTGAAGAAATAGAAAATTACACCATATGCCAACCGTCACACAGATGTGCATGACAAGGAAGGGTTATATATACTGCTTGCATCATCTAGGTAGTTAACATTGTATTACTTCTTGAGTTCCTTGAGGTATTTACTGTCACAGGTAGGAGCTTCAGCTGGAGAGTAGAAGTTGGGGCATGTGATTTAAGGAGGGCCGGCCCTCCTTCGCTGAAATTAGGACCGGTCCACCGTGCAAACGCCCGGTATCACAGATTACTAGTCCAAGTCTGGCTCCTACTATCCTCCTGTCTAAGGAAGGGATGGTAAGACTTGTGAAGGTTGGAGGTTTCTAAATACTTAAAAGAGTGTTATGATAGTGAATAAACTGTTCAGGGTGTTTGCAAGATACAGAAGGTCACGCTTCGATGGTAATGGTTTTTTTTCTTAACTCTAAGTCATTGTGCTCTGTGGAAGGTTTGCTTTGTGTTTATATTGCTTAATTCTTGCTCCAACTTCTTTCAATTGGATATTAGCTCTGATAATACCATTGTTTATTTTCTTTTGGAGTATTTTTGTGTGTTTTATTATTTTCATCTCAGATTTTTTCATATAAAAGTAGTGCAATTAAAATTGATAGGAAAGATGTGAGTACAATAGTTACAGCGCCATCTGCCAGCAAGAGCTGGTTACACTATACAGTATGTGCTGGGATTAGGTCTATATGGAAGATTCCAGCCTTTTTTATTCTCCATCCTATACCACTGGGGCAACAGGGGCATTGGATGTAGGGTAACTCTTCACCGAATGGTAATCAAAGGGCTTTTACAATCTTTAATTCTAAAAATAACATTTAACTGTTTTTAAACTCCTCAGCATTCAGTAGCTGAAGAAAAACACAGGAAAATAAAACCTATTTTCCTCTTCCAGGATCCTTCCTGTTGGCTCATTCCCAGCTGGGCCCGCGGTCCGGCTATGTTAGCCGTGTGATCAGTCCAACTCTACCAGGGAACACCAAGTTCTGCCTGAGGTTTTACTTCTTACTGAAAGGTGGTCCAACTCTTCATCAGGAAATATCTCAGATAATGGTCTCTCTTTCTCATATTTGTATAAATCTTTGGAAGAGACTGAGTGTCATAAATAACTCTGACAGGTTTCAACCAGACGGAGCAGGCATTGGCGGTTTATCTGCTGCAGCAGGGTGGCAAGCAGGAGAAGATCTGGACTCAGGCAGAGAAGTCGAGGGGAATCTGGATTTTAGCGGATGTAACCTTCCAGACGTCACAGCCTGCTAAGGTCAGAAGGGGACAATAACATTTTAGAGACTCAGGTGTGGGAAAAAAAGACAAAATTATGGAGGGAGAAGGAAAAAAAGACAGAAAAATAATTGCCCTGGTACTTAGGCAGAGGAGGGGTGTGACTTATGACTTATATGTTTTAGAAAACAACATATTGTAGAAAGTAAGGAGAGGAAAACACATAATAATGGGAGAAATTAACATGTAGTAAAGAAAAAGGGTGAGAACATTTCAATAATGTTAAACTTTTGATCAAAAGTACACAGAAAAAGATAAAAAAAACTCCATCCATCCATCCATCCATCCATCCGTCCGTCCGTCCGTCCGTCCATCTATCCATCCATCCATCCATCTTTCCGTCTTTCCAGTCCTCCATCCATCCGTCCGTCCATCCATCCATCCATCCATCCATCCATCCATCCATCCATCCATCCATCCATCCATCCATCCATCCATCCATCCATCCATCCATCCATCCATCCATCCATCCATCCAGCTTAATTCATTTATCGTCATCAAGTATTATTATTTTAGTATTTTCACACTTACAAAAAAGGGCTGCATCTAGAAACTATGTTGCTAATCGATTAATCTGTTGAATCTTTAATCAATTAGTAATCAGTTGGTAGAAGGTTCCTTAAATATTTTACACAGAATTTAAACCAGGTTAAGCTACAACTGTGCCCTTAGAATAATCCTGCTCTATCCAGTGAATTAATGTGCTCTGGATAGACGATATTAATGGACAAAAAATATTTTTCATCTTGAATGCAAAATGTTTACTTATATTTTCTTTTTCTTTTTTTACAATTGAACTGCTCTGAGTGTAAAACAAAAGAAGATGCTGCTCACTTCCTGTTTCTCTTCAGATGGCCTTTGTCATCACCTGCAGGAGTTTCTGGGACTGCGGCTCTGTGGCTCTGGACGACATCAGTCTGAACCTCGGCGACTGTGAGCTGACGGCAGGTAACAGTTTCCGGCTTTAATATTAGGACTATTGAATATATTTTCAGCAGGATTAAATAAATGCATTGCTTATTTATCACTTATATATTGTATCACTAATAAAATGCAAAACAATGAAAATACCTACCATTTTCCCTCAGAATCAACCCCAAATATAATGAAAAACATTTAGGTCCTAAGACTGAGCCTTGAGGTACTCCATACTTGTAGGGAAGTCATATTTAAATGTCAAATCATTTTAGCTTAAACATGTATATATATATATATGTACTCTTTATCAGACTATATTGTCCCAAAAGTTAGAAAATTTCTATATAAAAAACAAAATCCTGTCGTAAAATCTTTTTTTTTTTTTTTTTTTTTTTTGTTATCTTATGCAGGTCAGTTAGTTATACATCAGCTTGTACACCTCAATTTGGCCAATAATATATCACCGGTCATTTTTCAATCAAATTTCTCCGGTCATAGCATCTTGATTCATATGTCGCAGCTAATATATATCCAGACATTTGAATTGAGAAAGGTTTTAAAATTTCAGTTCTTGTGGAATCTTTCCAACTTTTTGCGTTCGATTCAAATGTGTAGCTTAAAGTTAAATAAATAAATAACCTGCGACACAGGCGATGGGATTATATTATACGGACGGCACTTGGCTGAGATAATTAATCAGTGCCTAACTCAAAATGAGTTCCTGAGGGAATTTGTTCCTTGTAACGCACCTTGTGCAGGGAAAGCCTTTTATAGTAGCAGCCATTCAAAATGGCCCTTCCCAGTCAAACGCCAGCCAGATGGAAGCCTACTTCCCTGCAACTCCCAGCAAAATCCCCTTCAACTTCCAGCCACTGGATCGAACTCCTCTCTCACCTGGCGTGCATATTGTTTTACTCTGACTCCACCCTTTCACTGAATTACAGGGTCTGACCAGGAGATGACGCTTCTCTTTAGATCTTAATGTCCACAAATCATGACAGAAAGAATATTTTAGTACAAAGAAAGATGTTTAAAAAGGAATTCATCAAGGAAATTTTGAATGGCTACTACTGTATATCCTTTCCTCCTCTTACTTTACATCTTAACAAACACTCACCTTTATTCCTACGTGCCATGAATAGAATAACAATCACCAAGACGTAGATCTGTCAAATTAATGAATCATTTTAACTGGACCTTTATTCGTTTTTTTTTTTATTTTAATTCAACTGGAATCTGTTTCTTATGATGAACCCCACTGATGAAACGAAGGAGCATGAAATCTGATCGTTGCTCTATCCACAAAAGTAAAACATCATTAAATTCACATCTGGTTTAGAAGAGCTGAGGTTCAGTAAACGACTCAGATTATATAAACTCTGTCAGGATGTCTTCCTGCTGCTTTTTCTTCCAGTTCAGGCAATCAGCCTAGCACCGCACCACAGAATCAGTCAAACAGGCAGAATCAGGTAAATAGAGCTTAAAAAATATCTTATTGTCATGATTTTACTAAAGTTCAGAGCCAAATGCAGAAGACCAAAAACAGAGACAAAGGGAAAAGGTGTAACAGGTTTTATTGAAGAGATAATGCAGAGAAAAGCATTGCTCTGAACACTGCTCAACTGGAACTGTAAAGTGAGGGGAAGACACAGCGATAAGTTCAGGTTCAGTGGGAAATTTGATTCGTAAACTTGGAGAAGAGGATTTGGTTGCTGACTCACGTTTCCAGAGAAGTTGTTGAATCTTTGACACCAGTCTGTATGCTGTAGTTCCAGTGTTTGTCTGATTCGGTGGAGGGCGGAATAGGGTTTACCCAGAATGCGGTTGTTTGACTGCCACTCAGATTTCCTGCGGTACTTGAACGGGTTGTAATGGAGATGAATCCCTTTCTCAGTGTGAAGCTCAAACAATCTCTGGGGGAAAGTGGATCCAAACCTCCTGTTTGAACCCCAGCTCAGTTTGAAGCTCAGTTGATCCTTCCAGGGAGGGAAGGTCCGAAAAATCCAGTTTGCAGGATGACTTCCCAAAACTGGCAAACACACTGGCGTCGAGGTAGTGGCAGTCAGCAGCTTAAGAACACTCCGTTTATGAGAAAACCATCAGCAGGTGTGTGAGGAGGCGGACCAGAACCAGGCGCCTCCTGGTGGAGGAAGGGAGACAAACACAGACACACAGACAGGAGTCCTGACACTTATATGATATCAGCATCTGAAGCTTCAAACACTTGATATGTGTAAATGGATTTATATATTACAGTTCAGAGATTTGATATTTAGAAACTTGGTGATAATTTATAGTAAGTTCACACAAAGTTAGATTTCCAAACAATTAAATTTCATCGAGGTTCAGACCATTTCATCCAGACAGAACTTCGGTTTTCCAGTTTAATTATAATGCAAACTTTTATGATTCTTCTTTTTGAAAGAATTGGAAGTGAGAATCTAATCTAATATAAAAAAAAATTATTTGTTCAAATCAAAATGATGCCTAGCTCTACTTGCAGGATATTTCCACTGATAACCAGTATCTGCTTTAATAATAACAGTATCCTGGTGCTGGGTCTAAACCCTATAGTTCTGGATTATTGAAAATTGGAACATGGGAGGAGATCGTTAAAGTGCCATAATTGAAATGGTCAAAAATTGATCTTTGACCCAAAATGGCTGACTTCCTGTATGTTTTAGGGCACACCTCCACGAGATCTCCCCGCAACATAACCCCCTTTAGAACAAAAGGCCGGAGGGGGTCTGGTTCGGGAACCAGCTGATCTTGTATCTGCTTTTTGTGGATGACGTAGCTCTCCTGACTCCCCACTGCTACAGCATGAACTGTTCCCAGCCAAGTTTCAGGTGGCCGGGATGAGAATCATCCCCTCCAAGTCAGAGGCTGCGGTTCTAGACAGGAAAAAGTTGACTTGTCCTTTTAAGGTTGGAGGAGACTTCCTGTCTAAGGGGAGGAGTTAGAGTATCTTGGGGTCCTGTCAGAGATCGATCTGGATTCAGCAAGTTATCTCTATGTCATATATTGAAGGAGGTGAGGCCAATCTGCACAGTGAATTAACCTGTGCAGATTGGACTTGTCTGCTTCAGTGGCTGGAGAGATCAAATATATGACATAGAGATAACTTGCTGACTCCAGATCCCCCATCTCTGGCTCCTTTTCACGGTTGATGGGAGAACAGAGGGCGGGATCGATAGAAAGATCGGTGTGGCTGCAGCTAAAATGCAGATGATGTACTGATCAGTCATGCTGAACAGGCAGCTGAGCGAAAAGACAAAGCTCTTGATATACCGGTCAGTCTAGGTTCCTTCCCTCCCCTATGGTTATGAAATCTTCTTGACTGAAAGAACAATATCCTCGATAAAAACAGCTGAAATTAGCTTTTTTTTAAAGGATGGTTGGGCCCTCCCTTAGAGAAAGGGTATGTCAACTAGCATGAGTACGAGTGTATCTAATACTTATATTGATGAACTAAATTTTGGGTTTGAATGAAACTTGAGACCAAAATTATGAAAATAACATGAGTGAAAAATAATGAATGAATGAATAGAACTTTATTGATCTCACAATGGAGAAATGATCTTGTGAAATTGGCTCTTATAAACAAACACAAGGTGCACATAGGAGGAAAAGGTACATGAAATATATACAGTGCATCCAGATATATAGCCTCGTGAGAAGAATCCTGATCTCGGGAGCTTTCAAGGTTTCACTCGCAGATCAGTCTGGAGACTCTCCGTTAAAGACAATTTGGAGCCGTTCACCAAACGAACGTCCAATCAGCGTTGGCTTTGAGGCGGATTGAGGTGTGACGCAACGAGAAGCGCGACAGTTCAGTCTAAAGAACATGGCGGCTTCAGCCGCTGAAACTAGCGTTAGCGTGGCTATCGAGCAAGTTTTATCGGAATTACAGAGTATTTCTTCGCTGAAAGAAGAGCAAAACACTGCTCTGGAGGCTTTTCTCAGAGGAAAAGATGTTTTTGCTCTTCTCCCGACTGGTTTGGGCAAGAGTAGCCTGGCTTGTGGTTGTGTTTTCATCGTCGCTCTCTTAGTACGTCATATGCTTCGTTGATCTGATTGGTTTATTTGGCCCGTCTATCACCAACTCAGGCCAATCAGCTAACCAGTATTTTCGCCCCTTCCCAAAATTACTTCAACGGAAGGTTTCCAGATGGATATGCGGAGCAAATCCATCTGGCGGAGTCAGGTTACCAGATATATACAATGGATGGTCAAAAATAAAGAAGGAGAGATGTAAGGTGACTTATATCTTATGTACAGTAAAGTGGTGGCAGGTAAAGGGGGGTTTCTGGTTTGTTAAATAGTTATTGAAATGTTATTACACCAGGTTATAGTGCTCCTTTGTACAGACGGGATGTATAAATCTGTTACTGAAGGAGCTGCTCAGCTCCTCTACAGTCTGGTGCAGGAGGTAGAAGGTGATGTACTTGATGGATGTAAGGTTGGACAACACCCTCATCTCAGTCACTTCCTCCACCGAGTCCAGAGTGCAGCCCAGGATAGAAGTGGCCTTCCTCACCAGCGTGTTCAGTCTCTTTCTCTATAGTCTTTATTGCCTAAAGATTTTGGTTCTCTACTGTAACATCTATGTCAACTTTGATTTAACTTCTCCAACAGGTCCAACCCTAAAAAAAATGTCACATTATTTTTGATTCAGGTTTCCCATCCTCCAGCCTCCTTGGACACTGTGACTTTGAGGCCGGACTCTGCGGATACACTCAGGATAAAGTCAGCGATTCAGCTGACTGGCATCAGAGGAGAGGATCCACCCCAACTTCATACACGGGACCTAGAGGGGACCACACCATGGGTCTCGGTGAGGACACCTCCCCCGTCAAAATCTCCTCTTATCGCATTTCCTGTTGCAAAAAGTATCCTCATACATCCTCCTCCCTACTTTCAACAGGGTACTACATGTACATTGAGGCGTCGCCCATGCTGCCGGGCCAAAACGCTCGGCTGGTCTCCCAACCTGTAAGGGGAAACAGGGGACCTCAGTGTCTCCAGTTCTTCTACCACATGTACGGCACAGGAACGGGCAAGCTAAGGGTGCTTGCCGTTAAGGATGGGGAGGAAGAGTTGCTGTGGCAACGGAGCGGCGAGCAGAGCATCGCCTGGCTGAGAGCTCAGGTGGAGTACCAGAGCCAAAGTCGACATCAGGTGAGAGGAATATAAAACCGTCCATTGCTCTTTTTTTCCTTACTAGTACAAACTTACCAACTAGTAAAGAGAATTCTTCATATTTAATTTAATTCTTCATATTTAATCAGAATCAAACATACTTTAATAATCCCAGAGGGAAAATACTTTTGCTACATGCTCCAGATATACAAAAATTATATATATATATATATATATATATATATATATATATATATATATATATATATATATATATATATATATATATATATATATATATTTATTTACATAAATGTTTCTGAAATTTATGTAAATAAACCTGCTGCAAAAAAGCTTAGGTTTAGGCTGCTCAGTGCGTAACACAGCAAGAAAAATGTTCCGGGTTCGATTCCCGGCCGGGGGTCTTTCTGCATGGAGTTTGAATGTTCTCCCTTAGCATGACTGGGTTCTCTCTGGGTACTCCAGCTTCCTCCCACAGTCTAAAAACATGACTGTTAGGTTAATTGGCTTCTCTAAATTCTCCTTTAGAGGTGTGTGTGTGAATTGTTGTTTGTCCTGTTTGTCTCTGTGTGTAGACAGCTGGAGGTAGAAACTAGCACCCGTCATGACTCTGCTTGGGATAAGCGTGTCAGAAAATGGATGGATGGGCAAAAAAGCTTAGATTTATATCTATGTTCGTGGGAGTGGCGGCGTAGGGGAGCTTGGAATCCTCAGATTATGAGTTTGAAACCCACTTCCACAGACTGCATCTGAGCAAGACCCTTAACCCCCTATTCCTCCCCGGGCGCCCCACGATGGCAGCCCACTGCTCCCCATGCGGATGGACTAAATGAGTTCTCAGGTTGAATTAATGTAAAAAATAAAAAAAAAATGCTCACGTTTGTCGCACAGTCGCCTTATTCTATTATAATAGATACGTTTAAAAAATAATCCTCTATGGAGACCTTTATCCCTCTTATTTTGAAGGGGACATACTGCTTTGCTTTAAGGTCACTTTTTCAATCAACACTAAAGAAAAAAATGGGATAAAAAGAAAACAGAAAAAAAACTTCAGTGACATTAACCCAGATAAGAAGATAATCTGTAATCTTACTCCTGTTTATCCATCACCACATATCCTGTAAACATACTTCATGAGCACAAAGTCAGGCCAAACATTCGCCCTAAATGGCTTTGTTTTTCATCCAGAGGATTAAAACTGCCAAGCAGTAGTAAAGAAAAAAAAGGGACAAATAAGGAGAAAACTTTTGACTTAATGTGTTTAGCAAGCAAATTCTGAACTGAAACAAGAACATATGTTTGGTTTATTGATTGTGACAAACTGTTCTTGTTGAGTTTAATGGGTCCAAAAACAAAACTATTAGTACCAGAAACCTCCACATCACATAAAATCTGGTATTTTTCCAAATGTGGACCTTGTTATCATGAACATGGTCTCATCCAAAGGGAATGAATGTTAGTAGAACTAAACTTTTTTTTTGCAATGTTGTGTAGAAAAGTCCGAAATTACGGAAGAGGATTAGGGCCACTGAAAAAAAAAAAAAGTTAACTGATTTAAAAAAAAAAATTTCAGTTTAGTATGGGAAAAAAGTCAGAATTCTGACTTTAATCTCAGGATTCTGACTTTTTTCTAAGAATTCTGACTTTTTTCTCAGAATTCTGACTTTTTTTCTCAGAATTCTGACTTTTTTTATTGTCAGAATTCAGTCAGAATTCTGAGAAAATAGTCAGAATTCTGAGTCAGAAGTTTATTGATTTAGCTTCTGTTAAAACAACATAACTAGCTTGGCTGCAAGCTAAGTTTTTCAGAGTTTGAGCGCTCACAAACACACATATTATTAATCTGACTTGCCAGATTATACGGATCATATTTAATCTTTATTTCAATCAGTTTATTTCTATAGCGCCAATTCACAACACATATAATCTCAAGGCACTTTACAGTTCACCAGATCATACAGTCAGATTGATTCAAAGGTTTCTATCTAAGGAAAACCAGTTGATTGCATCGACTCATTGACTTGAAGGCAATCCCTCACACTGAGCATGCGTGTAGTGACAGTGGAGAGGAAAAACTCCCGCAGAACCAGGCTCAGTGTGAGCGGCCATCTGCTTTAAGAGGAGAAAGAAGCAGAGATACAAAAAGCTGCTGTTACCCGGTCCAGGAAACACAGTCAGAGGATGAAAAGATCCAGCAAGTCACAGTCAGAGAAACTGGACTACACTGAAAAACAGCCCAAGGTTTAGCATTTACTATTCTTGTAATGATCCATAATGTATCCGGTTTAATTTGGATTTGTATTTCAGATTTAATAATTTTATCTCAGCTTGGCTTTAACCTTTCTTATCTTAGATGATTTAGATTTAGCCTATCCTATCCATCCTATTTTAGTTTAAGTTATTTTACAATAGTTTCGTTGTTTTTAAGTTAAACTGGAATTATTCAATCTTAATTTAATATCTATCAAATTTCATTTTAGCAACCTAATTTGAGTTATCTTATATTACATATATTAGTTAATTTTGGTGCAACTAAGCAAAAAACACTGTTTAACTAAGGCATTTCTACATTATCTAAGCATACCTCCGTTTGGTAAAATAGATTATCTTAACCACCTAAACGTCTTATTTTTAAGTAATTTAAATGATCTTTGGTTGCTTTGTAGATTGATTATTCTTCAGATTTTATTTTAACCTCTCATTTCTTATATTAAACACTACACTGCAAAAAACATCTAAAAATGAGAAAAAATGTCTTAAATTAAGTATATTTACCATGAATTTGAGTAGGTAAATAAGATAATTTGCCAATGGAATGAGTATTGTTAGTCTTAAAATAAGATAATTAGATAATATGCACTTGAAAGACAATGCAATTGTGTTTGTCTTGTTCCATTGGCAAAGTGTCTCAATTACCTCCTCAATTCAAGAAAAAATGCACTTATTGCAAGAAAAAATTACTTATTTAGATTTAAATTTTTTGCAGTGTAATTAAGTTAAAATTGGTTTAACTTAAGTTATATTTATGTTATTTCAGTTTAAATCATAGATCAATTAAGCTCTTATTGTCTTAGTGAGGTTTATGTCAACATGACCTACAGTGAATTATAGACGTGATTCTTTCTACAGATGATTACTCATCCAAAAACAGATCTAATAAAGTCTTTGCATATATTTATCAGTGTTTCTCTTATTTTAACCCTTTAAAGCCCGATCCAAGAATAAAACAAAACAGAAAATAACTTTTTTTTTGTTTGAAGTCCTTATTTGGCCCTTTAACAAAATATGTAAAAAGAAAAAGCAGAAATACATTTTTGATATTAATTTATTACTATGCGATAAGTCAAGATTATTTTTTGTGTAGTCTTCTGCCCTCTGTTATCAGGTATATCTGATTGTGTACAATAGGATTTTGAGCAAAGTTTTTACCATTAAATTATGCAAAAGGTGTCAGATGCAAAATATTTCAGAAACGGTATGTATCAAATATGATACATTTGGCATTACAGGGTTGAGCCAACCAGCTGCAACTTATTTATAGCATTATAAGCTAAGTTAGTGAATATATATTTCAGTATTTGTTGTTTTATACTGTATGAATCTGTAGCTGTCATCTTGCTTCAGGTCTTTACTGGATTCTTTTTTCCTTCAATTTTCATTAAAGCGAAAAAATAAATTCTGACATCTTAAAAAAGAAATAAAGGGGAGTTTGGGAACTATTCTTAATACAAGAAATATCTAATTATGTATTTTAATGTCAAATGTTTTGTAGATTGTGTTCGAAGCGACCAGAGGTTCTTCTGTAAGGAGTGACATAGCGATTGATGACATCATGTTGGACAGCGGACCTTGCCCAGGTGAGCATTTGACTATGGATCACATTGAACTCAGAGATCTGCAGCAGATGCCTCACCGCCTCATTCTTCTTCTTGCAGAGATGGAGGTCAGAGCCCGCGTGGGAAGCTCCAATGAAATCGAGTAGAAAAATGCATATATCTGCATTAGGATACATGAAACCCCACTTTCCCCCACTCTTCATTTTTGCACATCAGACAACCCAAAGCGTTGTTGACTCCTACATGTCAGGCAGAACATGTAGAGCGAAGAAACTGCTGATGTAGTTCAGTTTTGATGGGGCAACACGTCAGTTATAACATTTTACAGTGGCTTTCCCTCTGCATTGTAGCAACAGAGGATGTTAAACTGTGTTTTTTCTTCACACTTCTATGCATTAGATTAATGCTCATTGCTTAAATAAATCCCAGAATGTTGTTAAACATGATTTTCTGTCTTCCTGATATAGAAAAAGACTGAATGAAAATGTTCACTGTGAGGCCAGTTTGGATCTAAAGTGTAAGAAAAGCATTAAAATAAAACCATAATATTCAGATTTATTTTAACATCATACATAAACTGTACATCTGTGAAAAAAGGAGAAGCAGTGGAACATTCAGAGCTTCGTTTGGTCCTTCTGAGAGCGTTACATGATAAGAGTCCCATCGTTGGGGTATTTCATGGACGCCATCTGCTGCGTCATGGCCAGAACGTCCTGAAACCCGGTGCTGAGTCCAGACATGTGCTGGAAGTACGCCTCCTTTTCCACCTGGATCGACAGATTGTTCACCCCCGCATCTTTCAAGATGGCCGTCACCTACAGACAGAGAATACATGGTCTGATGATTATGTCCATGAAGGTTTAATCCAAAATGACTAATTTATAGTATTACTGAAAATTAGAGCTGCATTAATGTCAGTATCAGCCAATGTTTATCATTTATATATCGGATTAAGTCCCAGAAGAAAAAATGGGTGGATATTAACTAATGTTTATGTGGTGTTTATTTAGACCGGCGACAGTGAGTTGCATCAGAAGCGTATGAGGTACTAATCTAAAAAAAAGTTGGAAAAAAATTTAATAAATACATACACTCACCGGCCACTTTATTAGGTACACCTGTCCAACTGCTCGTAAACACTTAATCTCTAAGCCAATCACATGGCGGCAACTCAGTGCATTTAGGCATGTAGACATGGTCAAGACAATCTCCTGCAGTTCAAACCGAGCATCAGTATGGGGAAGAAAGGTGATTTGAGTGACTTTGAACGTGGCATGATTGTTGGTGCCAGAAGGGCTGGTCTGAGTATTTCAGAAACTGCTGATCTACTGGGATTTTCACGCACAACCATCTCTAGGGTTTACAGAGAATGGTCCGAAAAAGAAAAAATATCCAGTGAGCGGCAGTTCTGTGGGCGGAAATGCCTTGTTGATGCCAGAGGTCAGAGGAGAATGGCCAGACTGGTTCGAGCTGATAGAAGGGCAACAGTGACTCCAATAACCACCCGTTACAACCAAGGTGGGCAGATGAGCATCTCTGAACGCACAGTACGTCAAACTTTGAGGCAGATGGGCTACAGCAGCAGAAGACCACACCGGGTGCCACTCCTTTCAGCTAAGAACAGGAAACTGAGGCTACAATTTGCACAAGCTCATCGAAATTGGACAATAGAAGATTGGAAAAACGTTGCCTGGTCTGATGAGTCTCGATTTCTGCTGCGACATTCGGATGGTAGGGTCAGAATTTGGCATCTACAACATGAAAGCATGGATCCATCCTGCCTTGTATCAACGGTTCAGGCTGGTGGTGGTGGTGTCATGGTGTGGGGAATATTTTCTTGGCACTCTTTGGGCCCCTTGGTACCAATTGAGCATCGCTGCAACGCCACAGCCTACCTGAGTATTGTTGCTGACCATGTCCATCCCTTTATGACCACAATGTACCCAACTTCTGATGGCTACTTTCAGCAGGATAATGCGCCATGTCATAAAGCTGGAATCATCTCAGACTGGTTTCTTGAACATGACAATGAGTTCACTGTACTCAAATGGCCTCCACAGTCACCAGATCTCAATCCAATAGAGCATCTCTGGGATGTGGTGGAACGGGAGATTCGCATCATGGATGTGCAGCCGACAAATCTGCGGCAACTGTGTGATGCCATCATGTCAATATGGACCAAACTCCCTGAGGAATGCTTCCAGCACCTTGTTGAATCTATGCCACGAAGAATTGAGGCAGTTCTGAAGGCAAAAAGGGGTCCAACCCGTTACTAGCATGGGGTACCTAATAAAGTGGCCGGTGAGTGTATAAATATGTATATATAGTTGCCCTGCGATGGATTGGCGACCTATTGCCCATGGACAGCTGGAGATAGGCACCAGCACCCCTCAGGACCCACTTGGGATAAAGCGTGTCAGAAAATGGATGGATGGAAGTATTAAACGTGACGCGCTGACATGGATGCAGGTATAAAGCCACCAGGTTTGCTTCAGGGAAAATTTGTTTTTAAGAAGCTTCCCAATGGAAACTAAAGCTGTTTGCAGCTTGTGCAATACGGAATTAGTTTACTAGAGAAGTTCTTCCAGTCTCAAGTACCACCTAAATGCAAAGCATCCCTTAGCCAATGCGAAAGATGGCGGTCAGGCCAAGCACTGATGTAGCGCAGGGGAAGATTCATGTTCGTCAAGCTAATGTTTGAGTGCAACCGATGTTTGGTTCGTGATGATTGCTTGGGTGAATATGAAAATGTGAAAATGTGGTATTTATTTATTTCATACGATACAAACCTGTTTGAAGACTTACTTTTACTTATTAATTAGGTAGCACACACAATTATCATGCATGGATTTGGCAGAATTCAAATGAGCGATTTTATTCTAGATTAATTCCAAGATTACAATGAAATTAATGTAGATTAAAAGAAATAATCTATGCCCATCACTAATATATATATATTTTTTTTAATTGACTTTTACAAAAATCAAGTCTCTTCACCTTAACCCAATCAAAAGTTATTCCCACCCCAGGAAGTGAAGAGAATATGATGAAAAAAAACTCAATTTGAAATGAATTGAATCCATCAAACTGAAAAAAAAAAAAAAATACATATATATATATATATATATATATATATATATATATATATATATATATAAAACTTGGGGGGGAAAAAAGAAAAGAAAAATATATATATATAATCTGTAAAAATATATATTTTTTGAAAAGCAAGATAAAAAAAAAAAGTTTATAAATATATAAAATAAAAGAAAACTACAAAATGGCATTTTTGACAGGGCATTGATCAATTTCAATTTACAAAATCTGTTTCTTTTTTCTTCAAATTTACATTCACCAAACTTGTTTGCTTGCAACTGTAATGAATGAAATACTTTTTCAAGCACTTGAAATATTATAAAAAACATTCATCTTTGGAGCCTCAGCTGAGGCTATTATGCCTCGGTTATGGGCTGGGACAGAAAAAGGATCGGTGCCGACCTGCTGGATGATCCGCTGCTCCACCACATCCGACATGACCTGCAGGTGGATGGTCCCGGCGATAATGGTGGCAGAATGCCTCCAGAAATGAGGATCTCTGTACGATAAAACTCCTTCAATCTTCTCAATCTGCAGCAGGATGAATAAAATAAGGAAAATGCTTCAATAAAGGCCACAGAACTGGAGCTGTTTCCAGAATACCTTCAGAGTCCTTAAGACTGTTTATATTATTACCAATGGTCTTCACTACGAGACATAATTATAGCTAAAAATAGGGAGGTTGAACCTCAGCTCAGATTTAGAGGAAAGGTTTTGTAATTATTTAACTGTTTTTTAGCTCTTTGTTGATCCAATGCAATTTTTCACTAAACGGCAAGAAGAATTCAATTCAGAGCGAAAAAGCCTTTTTCTATAAACAAAAAGAAAAAAAAAGTTTAGCTTTTATGGAGCTGAGAACCCACTGATTTCTAAATCAGTGGGTTCTAATGCATTAGGTCAAAATGGAGATCAATGATGGAAAGAAGCTAATATCTAGAAAAAGCATCTGATAATATACATAAATAAATAAATAAAAACATTGTTCTATTGCATCAGACTAATGCTGCAACTAATGACTATTTTGCTAATCCATTCATTTGTATATTCCTTTTTTGATTAAATAAATTACTAAACGGATGGCAAAAGATTCCTTAAGGAAGATTTTCACAGAATTTAACTTTCCCTTTTGAGGACTTCTGGATAGAGCATCTTTCTCTTTCAGCTAAAGTCATTTTGTAGATTCTCTATACTCAAGGTAATGATTAAATTATTTCAGTTGAACTATTGAAATGATTGATTGATCCTAATTGTTTCAGCGAAACATCAAATGCAATGAAATGAGCTAAAAAGACATCCTAGAAATCAACTTCTGTGCTATAATCCTTTCTTAGTGAAAGTTTATTTCCTTCTCCCATCTTTCTAAAATGGGCTGCAGTGAAAAGGTTCTAATGAACATTAGAAAGGTAAGTTTTGACTAATTCCCAATGGAAAGACGTCTAATTGAGAAGAGCTGTAGAGACCAAAACAGCTGTGGTGGAAAAGGAAAGTCTAATTTCTTCTTCTATCTTAAGCTGGCTGCTGAAAAGGCGTGGCTAAAAAGGAGCCTTGGTGCTACGTGTCTCAACGCAGCCTGAAATATAACCAGCTGAGAAGATGTTTAAAGTTGTGTTTTTGTGCTCAAATTTGTCTTTTCATTTTGAAATTTTAACAAAATATCTTAAACTTCAAGTTACGATCAAACAAACTCAAATTGGGACTAATCCTCGTGGCGTGCGACTCCTCACCTTTTCCAGCGCACAGTTCAGGTCCTTCTCTTGTTCCGGAGGAGTTCTCAGGAGGAGAACCTCGCAGGCGTCCTTCAGCAGAGGGATGACGCTGAGGAAAATCAGCGTGGCGATGAAGAGCGAGCAGATCGGATCGGCGATCAGCCAGCCGAACTGACGAATGAGGATCGTGGAGATGATCACTCCGACGCTGCCCAGAGTGTCCGCCAGAACATGGAGGAAAACACCTGGAAGAGAAACAAAAGTTCAGCTTATCCCCATCCGACCTCCGCAGGCCTCGCTACGCGGACACCCACCTCTCATGTTGGCGTTCATGCCTCCGTTTCCCGAGCCGTGGGAGTGGCCGTGACCTCCGTGGGAATGCCCGTGGCCCCCGTGGCTGTGCTCACCGTGGGAGTGGCCGTGATGAGAGTGCCCATGATCGCTGGAAGGGCAGCTTTTGCCTCCGTGGGAATGAGCGTGACTGAAAGCACAGATTCCCACCAGGTTGACCAGCAAACCTCCGACAGACACCGGCTGCAGAAAAAAAAACAGCAGTTCACACATGTTTCCTGGATCGGAGCTCCGCCTTTAAGTCAATCTGTTGCCGTTCTGAGGTTGCAGTGACCTCCCCTAAAGATCTAAAGGCTGTAAAATGAAGCAGGCTCAGCAGAACAGATCCATCCACCAAGAAAACTGACTCTTTCACTCAGAGTCTCTTCAATCTGAAACTCAGTGAAGCACTAAAAACATTCACCAGCTGCAGAAACATCTGCGAAATACGAGGCGCTCTGCTGTCGTCTGCGGAGCTGAAAGGGAAGATTTAACACCCATAAAATTTTAATACTTCAAACGCCTCTAAAAGGCGTAAGACAGTGGACTCGGTAACAGAAGCTGAACCAGAGATCACAGGAGGGACCGAATGCAGCATCTTACTCAAGTTTTTACACACCCTGAACTCCATTTAACCCAACCTTCAATTTATTTATTTATTTATTTTAAGTAACACCAATTAGTGTAGAAGGCTAAAGACGGAACAAAAAGGAAACATTCCAAAAAAAGTTAAAAAAATAAAAAATAAAAAATCCACTGGAGTTTATTTCCTAGTTTGAAGACGTTTCGCTTCCCATCCAGGAAGGTTTTTCAATTCAAAATGTTAGAATTAGCGTTGAGTTCAAGGTTTTATACAGTAGCCCAACAAAGCCTTGTTTTGGCTTAGAAAACATGCAAACTGAACCGGAAGAACGGGTCTGCCCCATTGGAATAGGGGTAGTTTGGGTTCTTTGTTAGCCTGCAATACCCCATACCATCACCATGTCTCTAAAAGGGGAGTCGTTAAAGGGAATTGTTGGCCTGGCTGAAAAGGCGTAACCTGACTCTGCCACATGGATTTGCTCCACATTTCCATCTGGAAACCTTCCTTTGAAGTAATTTTGGGAAGGGACGAAAATACTGGTTAGCTGATTGGCCTATGTTGGTGATAGACGGGCCAAATAAACCAATCAGATCAACGAAGCATATGACGTACTAACAGAGCGACGACGAAAACACAACCACAAGCCAGGCTACTCTTGCTGCTGCAGGTAATGGCTTGTTAGCTCAGCAAATAAGCAACATGTTGGCAAAGGATATTTGCCGTTTATGTAAAGAACATTTGTGAAGAAATACTCTGTAATTCCGATAAAACTTGCTCGATAGCCACGCTAACGCTAGTTTCATCGGCTGAAGCCGCCATGTTCTTTAGACTGAACTGTCGCACTTCTCGTTGCGTCACACCTCAACCCGCCTCAAAGCCAACGCTGATTGGACGTTCGTTTGGTGAACTGCTCCAAATTTTCTTTAACGGAGAGTCTCCAGACTAATCTGCGAGTGAAACCTTGAAAGCTCGCGAGGCTAGAAAAGGCGTGGCCAAGCCAACAATTCCCAAACGACTCCCCTTTCAGAGACATAGGCTACGTTCAAACTGCAGACCTTGATGCTCAATTCCGATTTTTTAGTGAAATCCGATTTTTTTTTGCGAAATACGATTTTTTTTGCGTTGCCGTTCACATTTCCAAATATATGCGACTTGTATGTGATCTCCTGTGTGAATTGCATTCATACAGCTTAAGTGTTCCGCATACCCAGTAGAGGACGCAATGATGTCACAAGCCAGATTGCTTCATGTTTACAGAAGTAAACATGGATGTAGTGCTGGAGCACATCTAATGATCTTTTCAAACCTTAAAACTCACTCTTTTCAAGATGGTTAAAAGAAATCCTGCTCTCCGCATCATCATCTGCCATTGTTGTTGTTTTTCTTGCAGCTTCTGTGTAGCAAGAAGCAGAATAGTGACCTATGTCGTTTACTAATGGCGTCCAGGTCGGATGAATGCGACCTGGCCGTTCAGACACAGGTCGCATTTGAAAATATCAGATTCATATTGATTTCAGGACCACAGAGCAAAGTGGCCTGGGTCTGATTAGAAAAAATGGATCTGTGTTGTTCAGACTGTCAAGAAAAGGTCAGATCCAGGTCGCATGTGGGCAAAAGAAATCGGATTTGGGTCACTTCAGGCTGCAGTGTGAAAATAGCCTTAGTCTCTAAAAGGGGATTGTTGGCACGGCCAGGCCAACAATTCCCATTAACGACTCACCTTTCAGAGACATAGAGACAATGCTGTCGTAGTCCTGGTTCTGTTAAGTTTTCTTTTTCAGTTTCATGTTGATTCATGGTTTTCTTTGTTTTCTAGTTTTATTGGTTTAATTCCTATTTTGCTGTGTTTTTTTTTATGTATTTGAGTTCTTAGGTTTTTCTTTGTTGCCCTCTTGTGTTGGTCTCCTTTTCCCTAGCTCCTTTCTAGAAGCCTCTGTTCACACCTGCTCCCAATCGGCTCATTAGTCCTGTCTTTGTTCAGTCTCCCATATGTTCTCTGTGCAGTTCTTCAGTGCTGGTTCCTCGTCTTTCCCCGGCTTCTAGTGCATGTCTTCCCTGATGTCTCCATGGTTCTGATTTGTCTTGCATTTTTGTGTTGGATTTTTGGATTTCTGTCTCTGTTACCTTTGATTACTCCATTAAAACTACAAGAACTCGCCCCTGCTTCCTTGCCTCTGCATTTGGAACCTCAAAACCTCAACCAAACCCTGACAATTGCAGGCTAACAAAGAACCCTAACGACCCCCATTCCTAAGGGGCGGACAGTTCTAACGGTTCAATTTGCAAGTTTTCTACTCTATAAATTAGAGGTTACTCCATAAAGCCTTAAATTTAATGCTGTTTCTGACATTTTGAATTGAAAAAGCTTCTGGATGGGAAGCGAAACGTCTTCAAACTTGGAAAAAAAAGTCCAGTGGATTGTTTTTTTTACTTTTTTGGAATGACTCTGACCTGGAGGACTGAGTATCTTTACCAGCAAAAAGGAAAAATCTTTAATCTGATCATGCGAGACCGACAAGAAGTCAGCTGAAAAGTAAAAACAGATCAGCTGTGTTTACTTTGTTCAGTCTATAATAATAAAGCTGAGGCTCATCAGGATCCATCATCCAAAATGGGAATCCAAGTTTGCAGTACGTCCTCCATAAACAGCAGAACAATGAAAAATACCCATGTCTCAACATCCAATACAATACAAAGAATATTTATCAAAAAATGTTTTCATTAGGAATAAATTGATTGTTTTATGCTGTTGCTGTTAACTTGTTTTCTCTGTATCACAGGAATCAGATCAAACTCATAGGGGGTTCAGTTTGGGTTTATGACAAAGGTTTAGCTCATCCACAGCAGATAGAGCTTCCTGTACTGCAAAAATGATCTAGAAATAGGTAAAAATTTCTTAAATCAAGTGTATTTAACCTTATAGTAGGTTAATGGGATGATTTGCCAATGGAATGAGTATTTTTACTAGGGATGCACAATATAATTGGCCCCCTATCGGTATCGGCCTTAAAACTGAATATCGGACATCGACCACCCCACCGATATTTATCCCGATATTTGATCAGCTTCTGAGTTTCTAAATTCTAAAAAAATATATATATTGCCATTTAAAAACACCATATCAATCTCTTTTACTAATGAAATATTGCTATATGTCATCGTTATGCTACGAAATCCCCCGAAAATTCACGAAATGTTGCCATATTTTTATATGTTGATATATTGACGTGGTATCGATCTGTTTAACTAACAAAATCTCAAAAGAATTTGCAAAATATCACAAGAGTTTGTAACAGAACGATGAAATTTCACGAGATTTTGAAAGTAAAATAGATCGATACCGCGTTTTTAAAAATCAATTTGATATCAGCATATGAAAATATATTTGAGTATATTATTTTTCAAAGTGTCAGAAATGGATAACAAAACTGCTTTTTTCAATGACTACTTATTTTTGTCCAGCTTTAACATCGGTATCGATATCAGTTATCGGCTACATGAGTTTTAAAATATCGGATATCGGCCAAAATCCCAATATTGTGCATCCCTAATTTTTGCTCTTAAAATAAGATAATTAGATAATATGCACTTGTAATAAGACAATGAAATTGCTTTTTCTCATTTTAAAAGTAAATTGTATTGTCCCATTGGCAAAGAGTCTTACTTACCTCCTCAATTCAAGAAAAAATTCACTTATTTTAAGAAAAAATGACGTATTTTGATTTAAATGTTTTGCAGTGTGTAAAGGACCTTCCTTTTCACAGTTTATTTCTTACCGTCCTCAAAGAAAAATATTTTCTCGTATCAGTTAAAGTTTGTCTCTGAAAGCAGATTTCCAGCTGGAACAGAGTCGTTCATTAGCTGCCATAAAACAGCAGGGCAGTTGGACTGGATAAGGTTCTGTTCTTTGAGCCGTCCCATCCTTATTGCTGTTCCTTCTCTACCTTAGATCCTCTTCCCTAATAATACTAATCCTCTGAGGTTACTACAGGCATTCTGTCAAATATCTGGAGACGTTTAAAACGTCGCTGGCTGTGTTTAGTTTAGACAGCTGATAAAGCTCTTCCAGAACCAGATAAAAACACAGATCAACAGTTTCCACTCTAAGCAGTGTTTAATTTGGGCTTAAGATCTCCGGTTTATAGTCTAAGATTAAAGCTGATATCCTTCTGAGAGCAGCGGCTGTGTCCTGAAGGAGAACAAGGCAACCCATGGATCGACTTACAGTCAACATGTCCGTGTTTATGTTAGGAGGGTCCAACACGCGGGTGACCGACTCCACAAACACAAAGAAGGCGATGACCATGAGGAACAGGCCGTTGATGAATCCGGACAGGATCTCCACTCGGCCGTACCTACAGGACGCCCATAGCAAAGCAGACTTTACACAAAAAACACACAAAAAAATCCAGCTGAAGATGAAACAGAGCTCTTCAGTAGGACTTTACCCATAGGAGAAGATCCTGGTGGCCTTCCAGCGGGTCATGAGGGCAGCGAACAGGCCGAGCACCAGAGCGGAGCAGTCGAACAGCATGTGGAAGCCGTCAGAGATAAGTCCCAGGCTGTTGGTCCAAACGCCGTAGAACAGCTCCACAAACGTGAAGGCCTGCGCGAAAAGACGGCAAGAAAAGATTTTTTTATTTTTTTATATATAAAAAAAATAATAAATAAAGAAATAAAGAAAAAATAAATAAAGAAAAAAAAAAGAAAAAGAAAAGACTTTTAAAAAGGAGGTCCAAGCAAAAAAAAGGATGAACTGAAAAAAAAATTCAAAGTGTAATATCTCATTCAAAATTGGACAATAAAAATATAAATGTATTATAAAAACAATCATTAAACTAAAGCTTTAATGCTCAAAATGCTTCAGTTTAAAAATAAATTTGCTCTGATATCTGTTCCAGACCAGTAGGAGGCAAAAAGTGAATTAAAAACTATCAGTACCTGTGAAACAATAAAAACTTCTTTAATAACTGCTCTCAAAAATAAATCAAAGTTTAGTGAATTGACAGTGGGTGAAATAAGATTGGATAATAAGATCAGTTTGACATCTATCAGCTGATCACTAATGTCCCAAAATAAGGATCGATCAATCAGCGCACCCCCAATACAGAGCAAACCATTTAAAGGGACATTGTGTCACAATTTCTCTTTTTTCTACTGCCTGAAATTAATGAATGTGTTAATATATGTGTTAATACTGGTCTATTATCATCTCCACTAATAATGAGATCATTTCCATATGCAAAGAATTTTGTATACCGTATTTTCGCGACTATAAAGGCGCATATAAACGTCTTTTTTTCCCTCAAAATGTGCGGTGCGCCCTATGTGTGTTGTTACTGCAGACGTTGTTGAGACCACCATGAGAACGTTAAAGGGGGAAGTGTGGGCGTGGATTGTTTATAAAAGAACAGGTATGTGCTTTATGCAGAACTCCTCATCTCATTGAGGAGATGATGAAAGAGTGGCTGAGGGAGGTGAATGTAAGGAGACCAGGTGGTTTTTTCTACGCATCACCATCGCTGTTAATCTGTGACTCCATGCGTGCCCATCTCACAGCCGATGTGAAAAACATGGTGAAACAAATGAACACTGTGCACTGAGCCGATATTTTTTTTATTTTTTATAAAAAAGTAAAATGGTCAATTTTAATGTTTCATTTAGATTACAAAAATAAATCATAATAAAAATAATCCTATTTATGATGTTTTAAAAATTAAGACCTACGAAAGACTGATTTAAGACATTTTAATACCAATTAAGGCCTTAGTTTATTTGACGAATTCAATGCATTTTAAGACTTTTTAAGGACCCGCGGGAACCCTGTTCAACATAGTAACAAATTTCAGCACAGCGTAATAAAGATTTCAGCTTAGCTGTAACATTGCAAAAAAAATGAAATCTAAATAAGTTATTTTTCTTTAAATAGGTGCATTTTTTCTTGAATTGAGGAGGTAAGTGAGACACTTTGCCAATGGAACAAGACAATTTACATTTAAAATAAGAAAAAAAATATTGCATTCTCTTATTTGAAGTGCATATTATCTTATCTTATTTTAAGAGTAAAAATAATGATTCCATTGGCAAATCATCTTATTTACCTACGTAAATTAAGGCTACATTCACTTGGTTTAAGAAATTTGTACTTATTTCTGGAATGTTTTTGCAGTGAACAGATTTCAGCAGAGCTGTAACGTATTTTAACATAATGTAACAAAAATTTCAACTAAGCGGTAACAAATTCTGGCATAATGTAACCGAAATGTAGGCATAGCGGCAACAAATTTCAGCCTAGTGGTCCGCTAGGCTAATGAGGACCCAGAATTAATTATATTATTTTGAACACAATTATTTTGAATCCTTTAATGCTGCATTTTACAAGAGTGGTGCTTTTTTTTTAGATATCTGATTTATATACCGTAAATTCCGGACTATAAGCAGCTACTTTTTTCCCGCTGTTTGAACACTGCGGCCTATAATACAGTGCCGCTAATACATGTTTTTTTTCATGGCGTGAAAAACAGACCAATAAAATTGATGAGTATTCACAGAGGCCAGTGGGTTCTAAATGCGTGGAGCCGTGTGAAAACATGCAGCATCACCGGCGGGTTTCGGACGGCTGGGCTGCTGCGGGATGAAGAGGACCGCGAGTTCTCAAGTGAAAGCGACAAGGATGAGACTGAAGTCAGTGACATCATCCTGAAGCTGTTCCATTCAGACACCGAGGAAGAGGACTTTGAGGTTTTGAGTGCGCAGGGGGAAGAAGAAAGTGATTGATGACTTTTCCTGGTCGGATGTTATGTTGTGCGCTTTATTCAATTAAAAGTAACGGTATATGCGGCATTATTTGCGTGTTACCGACACATACGTATATTTAAATGTGTTACAGGTAGTTTTTAAAAAAAGCATTCATAATATGTGCCGTATTTGTTTGTTTTATCATACGGATTAAATCAAACGTTAAAAAAATGCTCACGTGTAATATCTTTATTTGTAAATATCTCATACAACGTGGGAAACCTGCGGCTTAAAATCCAGTGCGGCTTATAAAAGCACAATATTGATTTTCTTTCTAAAATTAGAGCGTGCGGCTTGTAATCAGGTGCGCTCTATAGTCCGGAATTTACGGTATTATATAAATAAAGGAGTGTTGCATCTACTTATTTCATGGGATATTTGGCCCTCAGGCGTCACATGGTAATGATTTTGTAAACTATCTCGCAGCCCTCCCCTTTCAGAAGCCCTGATCTAGAGGTCAGTATCGGGTGTCTTTGCCAGACCTACCAGGTTGAGACACAGGAAGTAGAAGATCTGCCTGGAGTCGTACTCCTCCAGAATCTGTTTCAGTGAATCTTTGATGAATCGAGGGAGAGACTGCGATGTGTGCTGCAGGGCATCCCCCATAAAGTTGTACAGTGGGGTCCCTTCGGGAGAATAACCCACCAAGGTCCCCTTCTGCCCCTTCTTCGATGGAGACGAGAGTATACTGGATGCTGCAGGGGAAAGATATTTGTCATAAAGATGAAGTGAGGTGTAATGGGGTTTTATATCTCCTTCTGTTACCTACCCATGATGAAAAAGATGGCGCTGACTATCACACCGCCGGAGAGCACGTGTTCTGTGCTGACCTGCTGCGCTGGTTTGCTCATGGAGCGCAGCTGATCCGTCAGTGGGTGTGTCCAGAAATTAGCCAGCAGCACCGCGCTCAGAAACAGGGCGAAGGAGCCGTAGCGGGCGCACCTGGGCGCCTCCATCTTGGCGCTGCAGATGGATTCCACGTAGAACTCCAGGATCATGACGGAGAAAATGATCATCCCAAACGGGAAGATGAGGGAGGACCAGGAGTAAACTTTGCTCTGTGGAAAAAATATTTAGAAACTTTAGATTGGAAATTCCCAGGAACAGAGAAATGATCACAAACACCATTTAGACATGATTTACATTAGACATTATTTAAAATGCTTAATAAAGCAGATCTACACGGAAATGAGCGGAGTAGGTCGAAAATTAAATAAAAACCTGAAGGAAAATTAAATAAACCTAAAAATTTTGTGAGCTGCACCAAATTAATTGTTTATTGGATGACTTATGATTGTACGGAAGAGGATTAGGGCAACTGAAAAAAAAAAAGTTAACTGATTTTTTTTATTTTATTTCAGTTTAATATGGGAAAATGTCAGAATTCTGACTTTAATCTCAGAATTTTGGATCTTAATGTAGATGGGTACCATGAAGGAAGAGATGTGGGAGCACTCAGCTTTACTGACAAAGATGTGAGTTGTTTGAGGTGGCCAGTGACACATTGGTGGAAAATGCCGGAATTAGGCAACTTTGTACGTCCCTGAGGGGTCCCCTCATTAATGGAGGAGCAGAAGGTCATTAAAACAAGAGAGCTAGTCTCTAAAACAGACATGGCTATGGCTTGATGCTAACATGTTTGTTAGCTGTCAGAATTCTGAGATTAAAGTCAGAATTCTGAGAAAAAAATCTGAATTCTGAGAAAAAAGTCTGAATTCTAAAATTAAAGTCAGAATTCTGACTTTTTTCCCCATGTTAATCTGAAATAAAATTAAAAAATCAGTTAACTGAGAAAAAAACTGAGAACTCTGAGAAAAAAGTCAGAATTCTAAAATTAAAGTCAGAATTCTGAAAAAAAAAGTCAGAATTCGGACTTTTTTTCCCCATGTTAATCTGAAATAACATGTAAAAATCAGTTAACTGAGAAAAAAAACTCAGAATTCTGAGATTAAAGTCAAAATTCTGAGAAAAAAGTCTCAGAAGGTTTTTTCAGTGGCCCTAATCCTCTTCCGTATGATTGGTATATAAGACCTTTTAATTTATTTTTACTCTGTTTTGTATTCCAATTTAAAACAAAAGGAATTAAGGATTCAACAGATTAATCGATTAGCAAAATAAATGCAGCCCTTTTTTTAAGAGTGAAAAGAATAAAATAATAATACTTGATGAGGATGTATGAATTAAGATAAAGATTACTGGATGGACGGATGAATGTTCCTCTGGTTTGCAGAGGTTTGGTTATTTTTTTCTTTAATGAACCAAACTTTGATGGCTGTAAACCTTTCCTGTTTTCCTGACCAACATTCCCAGTTCGGATTCAGTTAATCACCTCAGTCGTTGCCGACAGGACGACCACCCAGGGCAGCAGCACCGCAGCAGAAACCAGATTGTCCAGGGCGTAGAGTCGTTTGGCTCCACCGATCTCCACAGATAACTTCCGTGCGGCGGTGTGGAAGGCCACCTTCAGGCAAAGCGAGATCACCAGCAGCACAACTCCTCCCTGACAGCGAGTCGGAAAAAAGCAAGAGAAACGCCTTCAGCGTCTGAACCCTCAGAGTTTACATGCTCAAAGAAAAGAGGCAGCGGTTTAAATTACTTTATGATCTGCAACTCCTAAAAGAGCGATGGTGGTGTAGAGGAAGTGTGTGAGCGCACTGTCGTGATGTCCCTCAGCTGGTTCCCAGTTTGAGTCAAGGACCAAATATTTTACACAGCAGAAACACAAAGTTTAACCAAGATAAACCCAAATATGGATGAAAGGATACGGTGATGATCCCCCATCTTCGCCATCAGTTGGTCATTATCGAAGAGCAGCAGGCAGATCACAGCAATGATGAAAACAGCTGCACCTCTGGTCTGAAGGAAGCCAAAGAAAAAAAACAGGGAATCAGAATCAGAACAGGAGACATCAATTTCAAATGATACCAGACCTAATATAGGTGGTATCCTAATAAATTTAGAGACCGATTTGGGATTATTCAGAGCATTTAATCATGTTAAAACAGTTCCCGTAGCATAAAAAAGGAAACAGGTGAAGCATGTTTAGTGTCCCTATAGGCCAAAAGGGAACAGATTAAAACGGAGAACCTGATTCAGTAATAAAGCAGAAATCATCGGTGTGGACATCTCTAATGTCTCCTAGAGAAATGTTTTACACTCACAAAGTAACAAGCCGTACGTTTGGGGGAGTCAAATTAAAACTTTCAGAGCCAAGAACCCAGAATCACCAGTCAACAAAGGCGGAGGCAGCATCATTCTGTGGGACTTTACGAGCGTACGGCAAAAAAATGGCAGAAATAACGTGGAGAAAAACTCAACGTCCTCTAAAATAAAGATGTAAATAATAGACACAATGGCCGTTTCTCACAATTCACAAGAACGTGAGTACGTACTTTTAAAAATAGATGAATCGGCCGATTATTTTTTCGATTAATCGATGAATCGGACAAAAAATATTTTTTTATATTAACCTTTTTATTCCAAAATAAACATTTTAGACAGAACAAACAAGCAAACAAGTACAAGTTGCACATTAACTGCACTGGTGCAATATGAAAAATAAATGTTTGTGTTAAAACTACGCAAACTTACATGAGAAATGTAGCTGTACATCCACAAAATATAGGCTACTTTGTTTCATAAAGTGCAAAAAAATACATTTTTGTTTTTAAAAGCCCCTAAGGGGTTCAAACAATAGGTCCCCCCATTTCAACAAATGAGTTTTTTCTTAGACTAGAAGAATTCTGCCTTTTAAGACAGTGAAGTATAGCAGTTAAAGTTGCTACTTGAGAAAATACTGAACCATAGAGATAAAAATAGCCCTGTGATTCAAATTATAAATTGTATTTGGAATAAAAATAAGAGAACTAGGGGTGCTAAAAAACACATCCTCCAAAGACAGATATTTACATGGGAATGTGGCATATAATTAATTGACATATTACTGATCTTGCTGGATTTTATTCTGCTTTACTTCCATAAATTGCAGGATCTTCTTTACTTTATCTTTGCCAGAAGATTTAAACTTTAAAAGCCTTGCCCTCATAATTTGCAAATTAATTTATTTATAAAGAAAAAAGCTAAGCTAAAAAAAAGCTAAAGCTAATTCAAATGAAATTAAAAGTTAAATAAGTAGCCAACCTTATCACTGTCTGTAACCTACTAACAAGGTAAGGAAAGCATCAGATGAGCTACCTGAGAAACTAACGTTACGTTTCCCCACTTTAAAACCAAACAAACATGGTTACTCATCCTGCTGATCAGCTCTCTTCACTGCCATCGAAGGCTCCATCGTGTTTTTTTTCCCAGGTGCTGCATCATAACAGTGGTGCAGCACATTGTTTTTATAAAAGTTGCATGTTACGACTTTTTTCACTTTACAAAGCGCAGGCTGTCTGCGAATTGAGACGCAGCTTGGGTTTGCGGTATCGCTCATTAGAACAGTTGACGTTTCTGCCTTTTGAAAACAGCCTTTGCTCACTTGCGGCGCTGGCTCGCTCTGCCGTATTTTTTTTTCTTCCCCCGTTTCAATCGAGTGGCAGTGATGACGACGACGGCGGCGGATGACGCATTAATCGCGCGACACAACTAATCGATGATGAAATTCGTTGCCAACCCTTTTAAAAGTCGATTTTTATCGATTTTATTGATTCGTTGTTGCAGCCCTAGCAAGCAGCATAAATATAGGTCAATTGGAAAAGAGGCGTACTTGTGACGTCAAAAACTACTAAAGGGCAAATTAGACTTCTGATACCGCACACATCAAATGTCGCTTAGGTCTGATCGTGAACCAGTTTTGCTGTTATGCTTCTGTACCGTCTGTCTGGAAATTCTAGGGATGCACAGCAGTTTCCCGTCAAAGCACAAGAGGGAGCGTATTCGAGAACTCGCGAGAACTTCGGCGGATTGTCACGACAAACGTTGGGAGTGTTTATCTTCCAAAACAACAATGGTGCGTCTGCAATATATCACGGTCACGGAGATGGATCTAGTGTTCTAGACATCGAAAAGGAACAGGTTCTGTTAATGGAGTTGGCAAAATGACCGATTAATCTTTCGTCGTAGTTGTCCATTGTAGTTGTTGTAGTCGGGGAAGTGGTCGCGCACAGAGAAAGATATGATGGTTGCAGAGGCAATGCTTCAGAAGCATAAATTGGCCATAAATCTGCCAGGAATATAAGTTGATCTAAACTTAGAGCTGTTAGTTTTCTTAGGTAAAGTAATTACAAATGAGGAGGGCTGAGTATCTATGGCACCAAAGTTTAGATTAGGATTCATTTCAAACCTTGGACGGCCCCCCTCCTGAGTTAGTGAAGAGAACCCCGAGCAGAGCGATGACCACCACGTCACTGTGCTCGAAAACCAGCAGAGTCCTGAGGAGGAAAAAAAAGGCTCTGATTAAAACATCATGAAGATACAACAATCAAACATGTGAGAAGATTTTGAAATAAAAGCTTCTGGAAATGTTTCAATTTACCTCAAAGGTCCACAGAGAGTCAGACCAAAGAAGCCCAGTAGGGATATAACACAGCTGAGAACGGCATGTTTAACCAACTTTATCCACTAAAACAGAGAATAAGAGGGAAACAGTTTATTTAAACACAAAAGATTTATCTTAGAAAAAACCATTAAGTTCAGGTTTTAGAACGGAGGGCTGAAAGGGAAACTGTTGAATGCAGCAAAGAGTATAATGATTAAATGATTTACAAAACATTAATTAATACATTTAGATACATTGTTTTAAAAACAAATCTATGAAACTGAGATTTTTTTTTTTTTACATATAGAACTTTATTGATCTCAAAATTGACAAATTAACTCTCTGCATTTAACCCATCCCTTTGGGGAGCAGTGGGCTGCCGTTGTGCGGCGCTATGGAGCAGTGTGGGCTTAAGGGTCTTGCTCAGGGGCCCAGAGTGGAAGTCTGTGAGAGTGGAGTTTGAACTCAGAACCTCATGAACACAAACGCAATGCACCTGAGTGAAATTGGTCCCCCCCAATTTCTTCAAATCAGACCAAATTAGTTCAAATGTTTGTGCAGCAAATAATTTTAAAGATATAAAGAAATGTTTCTAGAGGTCATCAAAGGTCAACTAGCCCCACCCACCTTCGTCAAATTAGACGAAATGGGTGTCAATTAACTTGACTCTTTGCGTTAGGTTTGGGCAGCAAAAACTGTCACTTTGTTCCTTTTTATTCAGTTGTTTTTCATAGTTTCGGTTCTGTTTTTTTTTTTTTATTAAAGAACTAAATCAGTTTAAATAAATAACAAAAATTATATTATTATCATCATAAAGACTAAAAAAAAAGATTAGAGGCTGAAGGACCAACTAACCTGCCGCTTTGAAATCAATTTTCCAGATGAAAAAGGCTTTTGAAAGACAAGCAGGATAACAGCGCTCCTACAAGAACAGGACAAAATAAATGGATGGGGTTTAAAATTTAGATTATCACAAAATGAAGAAAAAAAATCAAGAATAAATGGTTTCAGGCCAACATCATGGGAAGAAATACTCACCCTAGCTTTAATATGAAGATGAACTGAACTATATGAACGACTTTGAGGATATCGTACGATTCGAAGATCCCTAAAGCTTTCAGGATCTTCGAGAGGATGAGGAGAACGATGTATCTGGTTAACCTGCAGGCAAAAGAAGCATGAAGGGCATCAAAATAAAACTCTTTTATACACATAGATCCACCCCTACTGATGGAAACAACATAATCGCTCTAGAAACCACTAGGATGTAAGCTAAAACCTTTAGTGAAGGACGCTACACTACAAAAACAATCTAGAAATAGGTCAATATTTCTTAAATTAAGTGTATTTACCGTTAATTTGAGTATGTAAATCACATGATCTGCCAATGGAATTACTATTTTTACTCTTAAAATAAGATAATTAGATAATATGCACTTGAAATAAGACAAATCAATTGTGTTTTCTTAATTTAAGTGTAAATTGTTTTGTTTCATTGGCACAATGTCTCTTTTACCTCCTCAATCCAAGAACAAATGCACTTATTTTAAGAAAAAATTACTTATTTTACTTATTTTTCCAGTGTAATAATTGGGTCAAAAGTTACACAGCGTTGCTTTAATCGGAACTCTACAACAGGAAAATGTACAGCACCATATTGTAAGTTATTTAAGAAATCATACCTTTCATGTGAGCTATAACATATACTTTCTTCTTGCTTTGAGAATGCTATTCCTGATCTACATTCCTTACTTGTCGGTGGCGGTAGTGCACCAAATTCTTGATTGCCATCCTTTGTTAAAACACATTTGTTATTGTGTTAAATAGGGCTGAAACAATCATGATTAATCGATTATTGAAACAAACCTCAACTAATTTAGTAATCGATAACTGGAGTGTAGAGACTCTAAAACACGCTTTTAGCTGACAAAGCAATCCATTTAGAGCAGCAATTATATCAAAATTGTAAAAATAATAAATTGTAAATATTTCGCATTTAAGATTACATTTTTTTCATCTGTTAATATGCTCTATCCAGAACTCCTGAAGTGGAAAAGTTTTAGTTTCACCTGATTTAATTTCACAAAATCTCTTCTTTAAGGAACCTTTTGCTGTCGAAAAAAAAATAATCGACAGATTTGTCGATTTGCAAAATAATCATTAGTTCCAACCCTACTGTTAAACTTAAAAGTTTAAATAGAATATTAGAAAAAAGGTTAAAAAAATGCCTCCATTGAAACAGAGCAAATACAAAAAGTAGGGCTCCTAAAAAATAAAAGTCACTTTACAAAATAAAAGTGTCAAGAAGATAAAATAAATTAGATAAATAAATACAAGTAAATAAATAAATTCTAAAATAAATAAAATAAGATACAAATATCTTAAAACATTTCTTTAATTTTACTTCATGGTGACATTTATTTCATAGAATATTTATTAATACTTTATTAATGGCAGAATTAGCTTTATTATTCATGTATTTATTCATGTATTTATTCATTTAATTTTATATAATAAGGCTCTCCATACAGGTCAGCCTCCATTTTACTAAAATATTGAGTTTTACCCAACCAGAGGCAAACAAAGCTTTATTATCTGGGATTTTCCAAATGTATTAAAGCCATAAAAAATAGCATTGGATGAAAACTTTCTGATTTAAATAATTTTAAATAATGAGAAAAATATATATAAAACTGACTATTTTTTGTTCTTGCTTTAAGAGAAAAAAATCTTTAACATCGGATATCCAACCGGACCTACATTGGTAATTTTGATTTTGTTAGAAAGTGAAAATTCCTGCGTCTTATCATTTGCAAATGCAAAACTAAACAAAAAACCTGAACAGATGTTACCTTGAATCAGGAACTTCCACCATCCCCAGTTTTCCTGACAGCACGTTGCTGCTGTATTTCTCCTCCATGTTGGTCAGTAAATGGTGTATTTATGTTCCCAGTATCCTCAACATCACTCTCTACTAGAAACCCTCTATAAAGCCGCACTAATTCACCGCTGTAGTAAACAACAAGGCCTCCTCCGGCTGGAGCTCATTCTGTCTTTTCTGTCACCGTCACGTCCTCTGTACTCGCTGAACGTCAAACAAAAACATCTTAACGATTTACTGGAGCCAAAAACACCAGCCTTATGTGTCAAAACAACAATAATAATCGGTGAAGTCGGAAAAGGAGGATGAGAAACAGCCGAACAGTTCATAAGGCGCAGACGCTTCCGCATACGACACAAGATTTACGTCACGTGAAGGACATCGTGACGTTGCATGCTGCGCGGACGAAGAGGTCTCACTCTGAACACAAATGAAGTAGAAAAATAGAAATGAAATGAAATGAAGAGCCAGCAGTTATTCATTCTATACGGAAGAGGATTAGGGCCGATGGATAAACAAACAAACAAAAAAAAGTTAACAGATTATTAAATATTATTTCAGTATGAGAAAAAGTCAGAATTCTGACTTTATTCTCAGAATTCTGACTTTTTTCCTCATAATTCTGACTTTTTTTTCTCAGAAGTCTGACTTTTTTCCTCAGAATTCTGCCTTTTTCCTCAGAATTCTGACTTTAATCTCAGAATTCAGACTTTTATCTCAGAATTCTGACTTTTTTTCAGAATTCTTAATTTAATCTCAAAATTCTGCCTTTTTCCTCAGAATTCTGACTTTAATCTCAGAATTATAACTTTAATCTCAGAATTCTGACTATTATCTCAGAATTCCGACCTTAATCTCAGAATTCTGACTTTTTTCCTCAGAATTCTTACTTTTTTCAGAATTCTTACTTTAATCTCAGAATTCCGACTTTTTTCTCAGAATTCTGACTTTAATCTCAGAATTCTGACTTTAATCTCAGAATTCTGACTTTAATCTCAGAATTCCGACTTTATCTCAGAATTCTGACTTTTTTCCTCAGAATTCTGACTTTAATCTTTATTGGGAGCTGTGATGGTTACAGCTGCTGTAGGAAAGGATCTGTGATAACTCTCCTTTGTGGACCTAGGGTGCCACTTACTGAAGGAGTTCTTAAGCTATGGAATGGCTTTATGAGTTACTAAATTTATTTCTGCCAGACCAAAGGGGTTGAGGCTCTGACTAAAAAAGCTCCTGCTTCATTAAACCTCACCAGGTAAAATGACCCATAATATCTGTGAATTTCTTTAAACTAGACATTCTTTTCTTCAAATGTAGTATTTCATGTATTTTCATAAAGGTTTCCATTACTTCAAAATACAAAATTTATGTCCAGAATGTAGTGATAGCTGGACGCCCTATTATCTCTGCTGTTCAACAGATTGTTTTACCAATGTGTATGTATTACCACCACAAATGCAATCATGTTCTAAATGCTGAATTTGAATAAAGTTGAATCAAAATTAAGACAGACTGTGTAAAGAAATTACCAGATGACTTTAATTTCAAATAATTTTCTCTTTTACTAAATGAAATTGCATTTTTAAATCATCCCAATTGCAGATTAGGGGCAACTCTTTAAAAGCTGAAATAAAATGTATACTACTACAAAAAAAAAAAAAAAAAAATCCATCTATTGGATAAATGCTTTAACTTACACCTACAGGTGCTGGTCATAAAATTAGAATATCATGAAAAAGTAGATTGATTTCAGTAATTCCATTTAAAAAGTGAAACTTGTATATTATATTCATACATTACATACAAACTCATATATTTCAGATGTTTATTTTGTTTAATTTTGATGATTACAAATGACAACAAATGAAAATCTCAAATTCATCATATCAGAAAATTAGAATATTACTGAAGACCAATAAAAACAAAGGATTTATAGAAATGTTGGCCAACTGAAAAGTATGAACATGAAAAGTATGAGCATGTACAGCACTCAGTATTTAGTTGGGCCTCCTTTGGCCTGTATTACTGCAGCAATGCGGCGTGGCATGGAGTCGATCAGTCTGTGGCACTGCTCAGGTGTTATGATAGCCCAGGTTGCTCTAATAGTGGCTTTTAGCTCTTCTGAATTGTTGGGTCTGGTGTATTGCATCTTCTTCTTCACAATACCCCATAGATTTTCTATGGGGTTAAGGTCAGGAGAGTTTGCTGGCCAATTAAGAACAGGGATACCATGGTCCTTCAACCAGGTACTGGTAGCTTTGGCACTGTGTGCAGGTGCCAAGTCCTGTTGGAAAATGAAATCTGCATCTCCAAAAAGTTGGTCAGCTGCAGGAAGCATGAAGTGCTCTAAAACTTCCTGGTATGTGGCTGCGTTGACCCTGGACCTCAGAAAACACAATGGACCAACACCAGCAGATGACATGGCACCCCAAACCATCACTGACTGTGGAAACTTTACACTGGACTTCAAGCAACGTGGATGAAGTGCCTATCTTCTTTTCCTCCAGACTCTGGGACCTTGATTTCCAAAGGAAATGCAAAATTTACTTTCATCAGAGAACATGACTTTGGACCACTCACCAGCAGTCCAGTCCTGTTTCTCTTTAGCCAGGCAAGACGCTTCTGACGCTGTCTGTGGTTCAAGAGTGGCTTGACACAAGGAATGCGACAGCAGAAACCCATGTCTTTCATACGTCTGTGTGTGGTGGTTCTTGAAGCACTCACTCCAGCTGCAGTCCACTCTTTGTGAATCTCCCCCACATTTTTGAATGGGTTTTGTTTCACAATCCTCTCCAGGGTGCGGTTATCTCTCTTGCTTGTACACTTTTTTCGACCACATCTTTTCCTTCCCTTCGCCTCTCTATTAATGTGCTTGGACACTGAGCTCTGTGAACAGCCAGCCTCTTTAGCGATGACCTTTTGTGTCTTGCCCTCCTTGTGCAAGGTGTCGATGGTCGTCTTTTGGACAACTGTCAAGTCAGCAGTCTTCCCCATGATTGTGTAGCCTATAGAAGTAGACTGAAAGACTATTTAAAGGCTTTTGCAGGTGGTTTGAGTTAATTAGCTGATTAGAGTGTGGCACCAGGGGCCATCAATTTTGAACCTTTTCACAATATTCTAATTTTCTGATATGATGAATTTGAGATTTTCATTTGTTGTCATTTGTAATCATCAAAATTAAACAAAATAAACATCTGAAATATATGAGTTTGTATGTAATGTATGAATATAATATACAAGTTTCACTTTTTAAATGGAATTACTGAAATCAATCTACTTTTTCATGATATTCTAATTTTATGACCAGCACCTGTATGTTGAAGAATGTCTACATAATCAGTAGGGAGATACTTCTATCGCAATTACAATTAGATGGAAAAATTCTGTTATTGGTTTTTCGTATGTATATCTTTCTCAGCACCAGAAGAGATATCATCCACTTGTGAACAGTTCTTATGATTTAATCTCAGTATAGTGGATAAAATGTTCTTTGTTTAACACAGGCCATATTTTGGAAAAACATTTTAGGTGTTCAAACCCAATGAGGCAAATTCTTTCCTCCTTTATGTGAAAATGAGTCCCATTTTTAAGATAGTGCCAATTTAAAGGGAAATTAACAGGATTTTCAATAGTTTGAGATTAAGGAACATTTTCACAATTGAGAAACCTGCCTTAACACAAAATTCATAAAAATTTTTATTTTATTCATCTGATTAAATAAAAAAAACTTTTTAACCATTTGCAGTAATAAAGTGAACATGCTATTTGTAACGTAACGTAAGTTCAAGGTATTCTGTTGAAGGGCTTAAATTTTCTCATTGACTCTAGAAACAGATTTCATTAGCTGTGGATCTACTTGAGATTTTTCTACAAAGACTTTTCACCCTGGAAATAATAACTTGGTCCCACCTTTAATTATTTCCATCTACTTTGTCGTTTTATGTTTTTATTCATTAGTTTGTCCTAATTTTAATATATCTTCTGCTGTAATAGTTTTGTACAATAAATGGCCTCATGGTGGTATAATTGGTATAATTTATTAGGGTAATGTTTCCATTATGATGATACTAATAATGCTAATTTTTCTTTTCTCTTTTCTTTACCATCTTACTAATCTCCCCTTCTTTGATATGATTCTCTTAGTAGTTAAGGATGCATTAATAAGGAGGGTGAGAATGTGTGACTCCTGAAATTAGGAATCCTATCACTTTAAAAAAAAGTCAGTGAAATATACAACAAAACACAGTAAAATAGCAACAGTAAAAGACCGTAAAACCAAAAGCGGTCCTTTACTTTATTAAGTACATTAAATAACCGGAAATGAAGTGAATGGAAAAAACACTAAATATAACAGTAAATATTTACTGTGAAAATGAATGAATATGCATAACTTTAAAAAAAAAATTGCCGTACAAATAAACATTTTCTAAAACCTTAATTTTTATGCCACTATTTGGATAAAACTCCTTCACTGTAAAAAAAAAAAAAAAAAAAGTCAAAATTATGGTAAAATTTCAGCAGCTGTGGTTGCCAGGAATTTACCATAAAATTTAACTGGTCATAATAGAATGTCTTACAATTTTACCATGTTTTTTATTAACTTAGCCTTTGAAAAGGTTTACCACATTTCAGTTGTTTTAACATTTATTTTTCACAGGACATTACAGTGAAAAACATTGTTTTCAACTGTAAAATTTAGGGTTACCAAAACAATGAATTGTATCGTCTTTTACGGATTTCCCTTTTTTTTCCGGTAATTTCCTGGCAACCACAGCTGCCGGTATTTTATCATAATTTTGACGTTTTTTTTTGTTTTTTTTCTTACAGTGTATCAAGTTAACAGTACTTTTAGTTTGATATATTTAGCAGCTCTAACATCAGATTCAGGGAGGGCTACACGGCCCGTAGCCCCACCTTTTGGATCTACCCTTATATTGAAAGGCAATTTTAATAAATTAGCCCAGAAATCATTTTTAGCAAGGAAAAAAAGAAATATTTAAACGTTTGATGAGCAGAATAAAATAAGAAAATGAAAAAAACAACACCAGCAATGTTTAAAGATTAAGAAAACGGAACAAGAAATTTTATTAGGGCATAAATGTAACAGATTTCTTTATTTGATTTATGTGTTTCTGCTTCCGTTCCTAAAGAGGTGGAAGTCCTCTTCTTTCAGTAAGGTCCACACAGCCCGAGCAGGACTTTCTGATAATGTCCTTTAGTGTCATTCTGTAAACAAAACAAAAAAAAAGATATTATTACTGGGATTAAACAGATACCCATAGAAATTATTTGGGAACGACAATTTTACCACAATGTCCTCATGAACGGTGTTCTCATACATAGCCCTGTATTCTTCTACGATTTTCTGCAGATCGATCTCGGAGCGGCTCACCAGGACCCGGATCAGAGTGTCCTCACATGTTCCGTGGCCCTGTTAGACAGAACTGAATATGGACCAAAGATACAAAGAACCACAACTTCCTCTAATTAATTCTCCATTACAAGTTAGGACATTTCTTTGCTAACATTGCACCAGTCCTGCTGCAGTCAGCCCCTCTGAAAAATGTAATGTAGATAATGGCTGTTATGTTTGCATGGCTAGACAAACAGATTGCATGCCCCAGGTAGCTCATTAAATTGGTTTGCATAAAGACCCTAAAGTGACCAATCCAGTGAGGAAATAATTCAACTTTTAAAAATTATTAGACATTATTTAAAATGCTTGATAGAGCAGATCTACACGGAAATGAGCGGAGCAGGTCAAAAATATATAAAAACCTGCAGGAAAATTAAATAAACCTAAAAATTGTTATATGCTACAATAAATTAATTGTTAAGTTTTTTACATCCAAAAATTGTAAAATGAGAATCAGGGAAATATTGGATGACTGATGATTAGTATGTAGACTTTTTTTAAAATCTATTTCTAAACTTTTTGTTTCTTTATTGTATTCCAATTTAAAACAAAAGGAATTTAAGATTCAACAGATTATTATAATTTTTTTTTTATTTAACCTTTATTTTACCAGGAAGTCCCTTGAGATAAAATCTCTTTTTCGAGGGAGACCTGGCCAAGAAGCAGCAGTACAATAAGACATATAAAAACACATAAAAACAACATAATAAAATCAATCATAAACTAGACTCTAGAATAACAGTTACAATTCTCTGTGCAAGCGGTTTTCAATAGTGATTTAAAATGCTGTAGCGGAATAAGAGTCCGTAATTATTATTAGCAGAATAGTTTTTAGATGCAGCCCTTTTATATTAAGTGTGAAAATACTAAAATAATAATACTTGATGAGGATGTATGAATTAAGAGGAAGGAAGGAAGGAAGGAAGGAAGGAAGGAAGGAAGGAAGGAAGGAAGGATGGATGGATGGATGGATGGATGGATGGATGGATGGATGGATGGATGGATGGATGGATGGATGGATGGATGGATGGATGGATGGATGGATGGAAGGAAGGAAGGAAGGAAGGAAGGAAGGAAGGAAGGAAGGAAGGAAGGACGGACGGACGGACGGACGGACGGACGGAAGGAAGGAAGGAAGGAAGGAAGGAAGGAAGGAAGGAAGGAAGGAAGGAAGGAAGGAAGGAAGGAAGGAAGGAAGGATGGATGGATGGATGGATGGATGGATGGATGGATGGATGGATGGATGGATGGATGGATGGATGGATGGATGGATGGAAGGAAGGAAGGAAGGAAGGAAGGAAGGAAGGAAGGAAGGAAGGATGGATGGATGGATGGATGGATGGATGGATGGAAGGAAGGAAGGAAGGAAGGAAGGAAGGATGGATGGATGGATGGATGGATGGATGGATGGATGGATGGATGGATGGATGGATGGAAGGATGGATGGATGGATGGATGGAAGGATGGGGATTTAAAGCATATTTTTCAATCACACTGAAGGACAAGCAACTATATAGTTAAAAAGCTGTTGTTCTTAGCTTTGTTCATGTCCCTTTTTTATCCTACAAGATATGGTTGAAATAGAGATGCTCAGTGACGCAGATGTTAGCACTGCTGCCTTGCAGCAAGAAGGTTCCGGGTTTTGATTTCCGGCCTGAGGTCTTTCTGCATTGAGTTTACATGTTCTCCCTGAGCATGCGTGGGTTCTCTCCTGGTACTCTGGCTTCCTCCCACAGTCCAAAAACATGACTGTTAGGTTAAGTGGCTTCTCTAAATCCTCCTTAGGTGTGAGTGTGTGTGTGAATGGTTATTTGTCCTGTTTGTGTGTGTGTTGCCCAGTGATGGACTGGCGACCTGTCCAGGATGTACCCCGCCTCTCACCCATTGACAGCTGGAGATACGCACCAGCACCCCTCGCGACCCCAGCTGGGATAAAACGTGATGGAAAATGGATGGATGGATGGATGGTGTAAATGGACAGAGTATATGTCCTTTTTGTAAACACTGTTGTCAGATAGATGTAGGGATTTATAAAATAATGTCAGTGACTGGATTGTATTCTGGCTACCCAGCCGCTTCCATCCAAGATCTTTGTTGTGTAAAGGTGGAGGAGAGTGGCTCATGTTTTCATACCAACCTTCATGGCGTTATGCAGCTTCTCAGCAAAAAAAGCAGGGGTGTTCCAAGCACATTTCACTGCACATACAAGACAAAAACACAGCGAGTGTCACAGCTGTAAAACTTTAGGTTTAAGTAGCTCACTGTAATGTTTTTTATCAATACAATTTTTAAAAAACAGCACATCCACAAAATATAGCATATGCAGACTTGGGACCCGGCCGACAAACTGTACAGAATAAAAGCTTTTAACCATTTCTAAACTTTTAATAAAACCTTTATTTATTTTAATCCTGAGCTTTTTTATGCTTTCTAATCTAAAAGTGTTAGAAATAGGCTGATAAAAGAGCTAAAATCCCAGTTTGAACCAACAGTCAATGCAGTTTTCAACCACTTTACTGGTTTTTGTCAGGCGCCTGACTGTATTACAAGAGATGCAGTTTGGTCTGTCAGCACAGGTGGTTATCATAATTTAGACTTTTTACTTTTAATTGCAGCAAAAGGATTAAAGATAAATTACACATTTTAAGTTAAAAATAAATTATTTGTCTTTGAACCACCAAGCTTTGCCTTTTCTTTCATTTCAAAGTAAATAAAACCGAATCATCAGTAACTTTAACCCAAGTCAAGACTTTAGTCTACCGGAAAAGCTTTATAATACTTTCTCAAACTGCACAAAGAATCTACACTATATTAACTTAATCAATCAAATTACTGAAATATTATAATTACAATTATCAGGCAGTGACTGAACAATCCCACAGTCCCTTAAAAGTGTGAGAGAGGATCAATGGAAACCTCCACCTACCAATGGCAATGAGGCAGTCCTCGATGTCTCCGCTCAGCTCCATCTGCAGGGCTCTGGGTAACTTCAGGTCACTGACGGCAGCATAGTGGTGAAACGCTGGCAGGTAGGAAGACAAAAATTCATACATCTTATTTCTGCCTGACTCAGCTTTTTGGTAGTATCATTTGTTAACAGTGTTGGGTAAGTTACTTTAAAAATGTAATCCGTTACAGTTACAAGTTACCGTGTTTAAAATGTAATCGTAGTGTTACTTTTTCGATTAATTTTAAAAAGTAATGTAACTAATTACTTTTGATTACTTTTTGATTACTTTAGGGTTTTAATGAGTATTGACCCATGTTCAACATTTAATTTTTGAGAACTGAATGTGAACCTTAAAAAAGCACTAAGCTGAGAGGGAACTGCTGACAGGCGATCACAGGATGTCCACAAGAAGAGATGCCAGCACCAGGCATGGAAGATTTTCTCAGACTCCTCCCATTGGGCCATACTCTTTTCTGTTCCTCCCCCAGGCTCTACCTAGCCGGCAAAGACTTCTTGCACTGCACGGTTAAATTTGAGCCATTTTCACAGATGTAAATGAAATGCTCCTTAAATTTCCAGTGCTGGAAGGCTGTCATTTTTGATGCGCTGCTTGAGCTGAAATAGAACCGTCCGCTCGCTTGCTGTTCCTCAAGGAGGCTCCACCAGCACAGGATGGATCATCAGAGTGGCAAATATGATAGAGACATGGAGCCGTAGCGGGAAACGACGATAAAGGGCGCGAAGCAATAAAAATATCATTACAGTAAACCCTCGTTTATCGCGGGGGTTACGTTCCTAAAAGAACCTGCGATAGGTGAAATCCGTGAAGTAGAAACCTTTATTTTTTTAAAGTTATTATACAAGGAAATACTCTATACAACATTGAAATCAAAGAACAGAATTCTGAGAAAAAAGTCAGAATTCTGAGAAAAAAGTCAGAATTCTGACTTTTTTCCAATACTAAATTGAAATAAAATTTTAAAATCAGTAAACTTTTTTTTTTTTTTCAGTGGCCCTAATCCTCTTCCGTAGTTATCGGTAGTTGTTGTCGCTCTTTTTTCTTCTGGGCCAGAGGATCCTTATAAACCGACATGCCACCATTTATTATGTTCGACCATAAAGTTTAACAATGCATTATGCAAATCCGTGAAGCAGCGAGACCGTGAGAAGTGAACCGCGTTATAGCGAGGCTTCACTGTACATATTTCGCAAAGGTTTTTCTTTATATTTGTTAAAAAAATGTAACTAAATTTGTAATTCTTAATATTTTCGGAAGTAACTGTAACTGAATTAAATTTTTTCTGATTGTAACTGTAACGAATTACAGTTACTCTGTTTTTGTAATTAAATTACGTAACGTCGTTACATGTAATCTGTTACTCCCCAACACTGTTTGTTAATATACAGGTGCTGGTCATAAAATTAGAATATCATGAAAAAGTAGATTGATTTCAGTAATTCCATTTAAAAAGTGAAACTTGTATATTATATTCATACATTACATACAAACTCATATATTTCAGATGTTTATTTTGTTTAATTTTGATGATTACAAATGACAACAAATGACAATCTCAAATTCATCATATCAGAAAATTAGAATATTACTGAAGACCAATAAAAACAAAGGATTTATAGAAATGTTGGCCAACTGAAAAGTATGAACATGAAAAGTATGAGCATGTACAGCACTCAGGTATTTAGTTGGGCCTCCTTTGGCCTGTATTACTGCAGCAATGCGGCGTGGCATGGAGTCAATCAGTCTGTGGCACTGCTCAGGTGTTATGATAGCCCAGGTTGCTCTAATAGTGGCTTTTAGCTCTTCTGAATTGTTGGGTCTGGTGTATTGCATCTTCTTCTTCACAATACCCCATAGATTTTCTATGGGGTTAAGGTCAGGAGAGTTTGCTGGCCAATTAAGAACAGGGATACCATGGTCCTTCAACCAGGTACTGGTAGCTTTGGCACTGTGTGCAGGTGCCAAGTCCTGTTGGAAAATGAAATCTGCATCTCCAAAAAGTTGGTCAGCTGCAGGAAGCATGAAGCGCTCTAAAACTTCCTGGTATGTGGCTGCGTTGACCCTGGACCTCAGAAAACACAATGGACCAACACCAGCAGATGACATGGCACCCCAAACCATCACTGACTGTGGAAACTTTACACTGGACTTTAAGCAACGTGGATGAAGTGCCTCTCTTCTTTTCCTCCAGACTCTGGGACCTTGATTTCCAAAGGAAATGCAAAATTTACTTTCATCAGAGAACATGACTTTGGACCACTCACCAGCAGTCCAGTCCTGTTTCTCTTTAGCCCAGGCAAGACGCTTCTGACGCTGTCTGTGGTTCAAGAGTGGCTTGACACAAGGAATGCGACAGCAGAAACCCATGTCTTTCATACGTCTGTGTGTGGTGGTTCTTGAAGCACTCACTCCAGCTGCAGTCCACTCTTTGTGAATCTCCCCCACATTTTTGAATGGGTTTTGTTTCACAATCCTCTCCAGGGTGCGGTTATCTCTCTTGCTTGTACACTTTTTTCGACCACATCTTTTCCTTCCCTTCGCCTCTCTATTAATGTGCTTGGACACTGAGCTCTGTGAACAGCCAGCCTCTTTAGCGATGACCTTTTGTGTCTTGCCCTCCTTGTGCAAGGTGTCGATGGTCGTCTTTTGGACAACTGTCAAGTCAGCAGTCTTCCCCATGATTGTGTAGCCTATAGAACTAGACTGAAAGACCATTTAAAGGCTTTTGCAGGTGGTTTGAGTTAATTAGCTGATTAGAGTGTGGCACCAGGGGCCATCAATTTTGAACCTTTTCACAATATTCTAATTTTCTGATATGATGAATTTGAGATTTTCATTTGTTGTCATTTGTAATCATCAAAATTAAACAAAATAAACATCTGAAATATATGAGTTTGTATGTAATGTATGAATATAATATACAAGTTTCACTTTTTAAATGGAATTACTGAAATCAATCTACTTTTTCATGATATTCAAATTTTATGACCAGCACCTGTACACTTTTTGCATCTTTTGTAGAAAGCATTAACTTCATAAGAAGAAAATGTATATATATTGTTGGAAGTTAGCTCATAAACATCCTTATTCCTGAAAATGCACATAAAAAAACTGTAAAAGTCAAACTTTAAATGGGATTGTGCATGATTCAGACTCGTATCTAAAGGTATTCCAACTCAACTTTTGAAAGTTAGTCAAAGGCCTTTGAGCAGAGTTTGAGAGATGGTGAATGCTGGTGAAGATTCCCAGTCATCCAGGTTATAGTCATTTCAAAAAAAGTAAAAAAACAACAACAACAAAACAATCCACTGGACTTGGTTTCCAAGTTTGAAGACATTTCACTTCAAATCCAGGAAGCTTTTTCATTTAAAAATGTCAGGAATAAAAAAAAAGTTTGAGACTTTATACAGAGCCCAACAAAGCCTTGTTTAGAAAAATGGGAGTCGTTCGGCTTCTTTTGTTAGCCTGCAAAGCCCCATACCCGTCTAATTCTCTGAAAGGGGGGTTGTTAAAGAGAATTGTTGGCCTGGCTGAACAAAAGGGGTTGAGGTTGCAATGATAGCGGAAAGAAATCAAGTCTATTGCTGCATTGTAGGTTTTTGAAAGCTGAAAGCTGAGTCCCCCCCCCTCTGTTTAAGGTTGGATTTATCTTTCTTAACATAGATGACTTCCTTCACACCCCTCTCAAACCACCTATTTTCTTTATCCAAAATGTGAACATTCTGGTTCTGAAAAGAATGCATTTTATCCATAAGGTGTAGATGTAACGCAGAGTATTGTCCAGATGAGGGCGCTCTTCTGTGTTGGGCCATGCATCTGTGGAGAGGTTATTTGGTTTCCCCAATATAAAGATCAGAGCATTCCTCTCTGCCTTGAACTGCATTACACCACTAAGCTCATATTTGGTCTGGGGGTTTTGTCCTTGGGATGCACTAGTCTCTGTTTAAGGGTCTTGTTTGGTTCGAAATGTACAGGGATTATGTGTTTGGAGAAAATCCTGTTTTCATAAACCCCAGCAACATATGGGATGAAGACATTTTTGGGTTTAAACTTGGGTATCTGCAGGTTTGAAGAGCCTCTTTGATGTGTTTCTGTTCAATCTGCATGTTTTCTAAACAAAAACAAGCCTTTGTTGGGCTACTGTATAAAACCTCAAACTCAACGCTAGTTCTGACATTTTGAACTGAAAAAGTTTCCTGGATGGGAAGTGAAACATCTTTAAATTTGGAAACAAAGTCTAGATTGTTTTTTAAAAAACTATTTTGGAAAGAGACGATGAATATTTCTCTCCCAGTCCTCCCTGTTCCATCTGGCTGTGATCCAGTGCAGCTCCACTTGTCAGGATGTGCCGTCACTTTAAAACCAAACCTGACAAACGACATATTCAGACATTTCTGTGACTCACTCTTAGAGAGCTGCGGGCCGTTGCGTGTAGTCAGGATGTCGATGAAGGTGGACACGTCTATGTCACCCTTAGTTTCAGCTGCTTCAAACAAAATCTGAAAATCAACAGGAAACAAGGTTTGGTTGCCAGTTTATAATGGAGCAGTTCATCTTCTACACACACAGTGTTTTACAGAAGTCCGGAATTTTTTTTTATCTGTTTTGTACCTTTGCATCCTTTCTGGCCAGCTCCATGTCAACCTCTGTGCTCTCGTCCCGTTTAGCGCTCAGCAGGGCCAGCAGAGCATTCATGAAGTCGCCTTTGGTCTCCTCTTTTATCACCTCCTCCAGGTCTTGTTTGTACTCTGAGTAAGAATGTCAGTTTAAATATCAAACTTAAAGCTTTTAAACATTTTTATTGACCAAAAGGTTTGCTTTGCTATTCTTAAATGTCAGCTGCAGACTTGTATCAAACAAATATATCATCTAAGGTAGCTACTGAGATCAGAACGCTGTCCTTTACACTTGCTAAAGATATGTCATGTAAAAAAACTTAAAACTTATTTCCACAGATATATCCATCCTTGTTATTTAATAGGGCCAACACTACTCTGCAAACAGACATTAGCTCTCTCCCCCAGTATAGTGACTACAATCAATACTGACAACAGTGGGTTTTACCTCTGCACAATTGCATATCTGGATAAATCCACATATTTAGACTATATTTTGTTAAATAGGCACAGATTTACTTTCTGTCTTAGTCGCTGGTAATTTCAAATGCAAACCTTTTCAAAGTGGGAAAAACGTCCTAATTCCTCATTCATCAGAGCCGATGATGCTTCAAACAGCATCTAGTGTGTGTAACGCTTATAGAATTTTTACAAATGTAGCAAGAAAAAAAACAGAGCATGCATAATTTTGCATCGGACCAATTACATCAGACCAATAGTGTCAAACCTACACCCTTGCTTCCAAAAAAATAAAAATATCCACCATCCCCCCCCCCCCCCTTTTTTTTTTTAACAGCTAGACTACTGCATATCGGCGTTATAAAAGTAGATCGGCTAATCAGATGACATTTATCACAAAAAACCTCAGCAAAAGAGCAAGCATACATTCCCAATTCTCAGATTCAGGTCTCCATAATTTATTTCATTATTGTAAGATTTTACTACTTTTTCCACAGGGGAAATTAAGGTTTATAGTTTAGAAATCCCAAGATTAAAAGAAACCTTGTTTGAAGACTCTCTTGATCTCTTGGATTTCACTGTTGGTTCTTGTTGCCAGAATCTCGATGAGGACCTCTTCGTCCGTGCCCAAACGCTGTTACAAAAAACAAAAAGAAGTCAGTTTACAGCAGATTGTTTTGGCAATGACAATCTCCTAACAGAGTTAGGAACATTTCCTGATGTCACTGGAAAGGAAGTTGGTAAACAATAGTTCGGTTTCATAAGTTACAGCCTCTAAAGCAGTGGTCAGAAAACTTTTCAACCCAAGAGCCATTTTACCTCAAACCCAGCAAAATAAAAGACATTTCAAGCCACAAGTATTAAATGACCTTTAATTAAATCATTATTTATTCGTTTTTTTTTATATCTGCAAGAGGAAATCTATTGTCTTTTTTATAAAAAAAAACAAAGGGTTTATTTTAGAGCTGCAACAAACAAATATTTAGCAAATCAATTAATCTGTTGATTATTGTTTCAATGATTCGATTAATAATCGTATAGCCAAAGTTTCCTTAAGAAGACTTTTTATGAAATTAAATCAGGTGAAGCTGAAACTATTTCACTTGAGTTCTATTGACAGACGAAAAAAATATTTCTATCTTAAAGACAAAATGTTAAACATATATATCGGATATAGGATTTCCTAAAAGCACCTTCACGAGTCTACGGAAACCGCGTCAGACCAAACCAGACGAAAGTGCGCATTCAGCGTCTGCTCTGCCGATAATGCAAGCGTAGAAGAAGAAATGTGCTGTTTACCTGTGCAAAGAAAGAAACAACGAAAGAAAAATGTCTGAGGACTTCAGTGTTAAGGAAGAGCATGAGTTCTTTGCCGAGCTGAATGCGCACTTTCGTCTGGTTTGGTCTGCCGCAGTTTCCGTAGACTCGTGAACGCGCTTTTAGGAAATCCTATACACTACTGTTTATGCTCTAAAAACATTCTAAATGACTTCGTTTCGAGTAAATTATGGACGCTACCCACTCAGGACACTTGGAATACATTGGACGAGCAGTATGGAGGAATATTGACACGTTTTTTGTGGACTTTTATGGACCTTTCTGCCTCGGGCGCCATAGACCTCCATCATTTGAATGTCCGCAGACAGCAAGAAGCCTCCCAGATCTCCAGATGCATTTGAGATATCAAAAAAGTACTCCAGAGTGTTGTTCAGCATGGGGGTGAGTAGAAAATGAAGGCTAATCATGTTTTGGGTGTACTATTCCTTTAATGTCTGCTGCATTTCACATCATATTTATTTTTGCACTGCACTGGACTTTTTCATATAAATGCCCTTTTGCATCCATTATTTTTACCCTCTCAAAACCCGACTCGTTTTTAAAGCATTTACAAATAATAATTCAGAATGTATGAAAATTACACTGGTAAAATGTCTACCAATATAGACATGTTAGACATCGTTGGAAAGCTTAGATTCTCCATAATTCAACCACCTAGTTTATTTTATGGACATAGCGAGCACCAAAGCACAATTAACACAGATATAGCAGCATGTCAAAATGTAAACATGACAAAGCAGCCACAATAAGCAATCATGTCTTTATTACTGCTGTACAAAAAAGACTTATTATTTTCGAGAATAAAAAAAAACAAACTTTGAGTAATATTTGAAATGATGCAGCTTGGGTGTTTTACTCATCCAATTTTCAGGTATATATTCAGAAACTAGAAGGTGTTAGCTTTCAAATAATGTATCACACATGTAATTTGGGATTACAGTTCCTCAGTTATTTGCTTTTCCATTTGGGTATGCAAAATAGGCGAGAATTTCCCAAAATGAGGTGGATATTAAGAGGTTAAACTGGTTTATTTTCTCTGACACTGTTTATATTCTGATCAGTGCTGCATTTTATAAATGGTAATGTTCATTTCACTGTTTCATTTTCGTAAGCTGCTCATTTCACTGTTGTAAACTGTATGCAACGGAATTTCGTTTTTTATACACTCTGTGCATCCAAAATGACAATAAAGTTTGTCTAAGTCTTTAAATTAGATTTTTTTTTGTATCAAAATAGAGTTTAAGTTTAACAGTATACACAACCCTACAATGTGAAACTTTAGACATCAGAAAAGTGATAATTCTTTTGTAACTCTGCTTTTGTAACTTTTTTTTATATATCAAATGCTATTTAAGTCCCTCCCTAAAACAAAACAGGTAACTCCTTCAAATGTGGCCCCAGGCTCTGGAAATCAAACTGAAGGGGTCTGCTGAAATTCAAACTTCTAAGGCTAAAGAGAAACCTATAACACGTATAACACCTATAACAGCAGGTGTTTGTCCTAAAAGAGAGTTTTTGGGTCTGGAACCGTTGGTCAGAAACAAACAATAATATTCTGAAAATATTCAAAAGACTGATTAGTTCCTTAACTTCCCAGCAGGATGTTTAAACCCCCAATTATGTCATAAACGGATTTCCCTCTGTCTCTGTGACAATGTCTAACCCTTACTGCAGGTTCTAAATGAGCTTCATTGATAATAGTTTTGTGTGTTTATTATATTCATTCATCCTTAATTTGATAAAAACCTTTAATTTAGGTTGTCTTTGTTTTTGTTTCATACAGTAAAGGATTTTCCACTGTAACATCAAGGTCTTATTTTCCGATTTTAATGAAAATTAGTTTGAGAAACTGTTTAAAGCTCTTCTTCTCAGAGTAAAGGTTAACCCAAAGAGGGGAATACTTTATCTTTTAGAAGACTTATTTCTTTGTGTTACCATTTGCAGCCATTATACACAAATGTTTTTAAAGCATTCAGATAAGCTTTTGTTGGTAGATCTGTTTGATTGTGGCTTTTGATACTGCTGTTGATTGCAGTGATGAGAATATATCAGGTTCCTGACTGCAAGTAAAAACTCCTGGCTTTATTTTTAATCCAGGGGAATAAAGTAGATTAAATTAGGACATAATATAATTGGTTTAGTGTCCCCAAAAAATCCCCCAAAAAATCTGTAAGAACCTTTAAAAGAACAAAATTTTTTGTTGATTTTAACCTACTTGGTGCAAATAAACCTAGACCCCTAATTGATTTACAATATCAAAATGTATATTCTTCCACTGGAAAGAGAGGTTAATTACACAATAGAAGTGCACATTTTCATAGTAACATTTATGTATGAATGTCATCATTGTTCTTGATATCAAAGTTAGAGATTAACCGGATTACAAGGTTCTTCAGATTTAAGGTGGAAACTGTAAATCCCTGCTAATTTACCTTGGTGGCTTTCCTGAGCAGGTAGGCATCAAAGTGAGCTGGAGGCATGAGCAGAGCCAGAGCCACATCCTCCAAATCTGACCTGAGAACCGACTCCCAGGATTTAACCAGATTCTGCAAACAAATTAAAAGAAAAAAAAAAAAGGAATCAGTCTCACAAAAAAACGCCACAACTGAATTTAATAATCAACCTTTTTTCCTCAACAGCATATTTGGTTAAGAGTTTTTATCACAATTGTAAGCGAATTGAAAAAAAAAATGTATATCCATTTCTCAATTCTTTAAAAGGACCCGTTTATAAATTGGAGTGCCCTCTAGTGTTATATGAAGGACCAACTCTGCCATATTTAAAAATAAATACAGAAATAAATAAATGCTCAATAAATGTATAAGCATACAATTAATTGCCAACAAAAAAGTGAGACATAAATGTATATAACTCTTAATTAGCTTCTTTATTTATTTGCCTTTGTAATATTTACCTTATTTATTTTTCTGTCCTTTATAATCTTCAACTTTATTTTTTAATTACTTATATTTTTAAGTATTTATTTATGTGCATGTTATAATATTTTTGTCTGTTTTATTCTTCCTTTGTATTTTTTTACCTTAGTTATTTCTTCGCCGCTGTTTATTTCTCTCTGCCCTTTTTACATTTCTCTATGCCCTTTTTACATTTCTCTCTGCCCTTTTTACATTTCTCTATGCATTTCTGTCTCATTATGCAAATGAGGAGGGGGTGTGTCCTAGAGAGTCAACTTCTGCTCATTGGTTGGCTTGGCTGTCCATCTTCTTAACTCACAGAGCTCAGAGTACTAAGTTAAATGTTCTCTTTTCTGTTGCTGTTGTTCAATAAAAGTACGTTTTAAGATCATTTGAGGCGAGAACCTTATACTTTTAAGCATCACCATATGGCCCATTCACAGATTTAATGCGTAATTTAAAAGAAAATGTGACGAACTTGAGAGGACCGTGGCAACCAGCAAAGCTCCGAAGCTGACGGCAGCCAGGTCTAACCACAGCCCATCTGCAGCGGCCCTCTCTCGGCATAACCGTGTGTGAAGCGTGTTGGTTAGCATTTTACTACATCGGTCGAATCTACAGGAGGAGAGTCTGATGTCGAGTCTGAAGTCATTAGAACTTGAGTAGGGACTTTGCCAAACTTTGCCAAATACAACAAAAAATCGCCATCATAGCCTGGCTATAGACCTGGCTGCCGTCAGCTTCGGAGCTCCGCTGGTTGCCACGGTCCTCTCAAGTTCGTCACATTTTCTTTTAAATTACGCATTAAATCTGTGAATGGGCCATATGGTGATGCTTAAAAGTATAAGGTTCTCGCCTCAAATGATCTTAAAACGTACTTTTATTGAACAACAGCAACAGAAAAGAGAACATTTAACTTAGTACTCTGAGCTCTGTGAGTTAAGAAGATGGACCGCCAAGCCAACCAATGAGCAGAAGTTGACTCTCTAGGACACACCCCCTCCTCATTTGCATAATGAGACAGAAATGCATAGAGAAATGTAAAAAGGGCAGAGAGAAATGTAAAAAGGGCAGAGAGAAATGTAAAAAGGGCATAGAGAAATGTAAAAAGGGCAGAGAGAAATGTAAAAAGGGCATAGAGAAATGTAAAAAGGGCAGAGAGAAATGTAAAAAGGGCAGAGAGAAATGTAAAAAGGGCATAGAGAAATGTAAAAAGGGCAGAGAGAAATGTAAAAAGGGCAGAGAGAAATGTAAAAAGGGCAAAGAGAAATGTAAAAAGGGCAGAGAGAAATAAACAGCGGCGAAGAAATAACTAAGGTAAAAAAATACAAAGGAAGAATAAAACAGACAAAAATATTATAACATGCACATAAATAAATACTTAAAAATATAAGTAATTAAAAAATAAAGTTGAAGATTATAAAGGACAGAAAAATAAATAAGGTAAATATTACAAAGGCAAATAAATAAAGAAGCTAATTAAGAGTTATATACATTTATGTCTCACTTTTTTGTTGGCAATTAATTGTATGCTTATACATTTATTGAGCATTTATTTATTTCTGTATTTATTTTGAAATATGGCAGAGTTGGTCCTTCATAGTGTTAGAGTCCCTCATTGCAATAACTAAACATTCCTTGCTTGTTCAGGATTTAGGATAAGCCCCCATCAAGTATGAAGGACCAACTCTGCCTAAATGGGGGGGGAGATATCCTACAAAAAAAAGATCTGAGTGAATTGTATATGCAACTATATACATACATATATATACATATATATATACATATATATATATATATATATATATATATATATATATATATATATATATATATATATATATATATATATACACATACATACATACATAGGTATATATGTATATGTATATATATATATATATACATATATATATATATACATCTATACATATACATATATATATATATATATATATATACATATATACATACATATATATACACATATATATACATATACATATATACATATAAATATATATATACATATACATATATACACTCACCGGCCACTTTATTAGGTACCCCATGCTAGTAACGGGTTGGACCCCCTTTTGCCTTCAGAACTGCCTCAATTCTTGGTGGCATAGATTCAACAAGGTGCTGGAAGCATTCCTCAGGGAGTTTGGTCCATATTGACATGATGGCATCACACAGTTGCCGCAGATTTGTCGGCTGCACATCCATGATGCGAATCTCCCGTTCCACCACATCCCAGAGATGCTCTATTGGATTGAGATCTGGTGACTGTGGAGGCCATTTGAGTACAGTGAACTCATTGTCATGTTCAAGAAACCAGTCTGAGATGATTCCAGCTTTATGACATGGCGCATTATCCTGCTGAAAGTAGCCATCAGAAGTTGGGTACATTGTGGTCATAAAGGGATGGACATGGTCAGCAACAATGCTCAGGTAGGCTGTGGCGTTGCAACGATGCTCAATTGGTACCAAGGGGCCCAAAGAGTGCCAAGAAAATATTCCCCACACCATGACACCACCACCACCAGCCTGAACCGTTGATACAAGGCAGGATGGATCCATGCTTTCTTGTTGTAGACGCCAAATTCTGACCCTACCATCCGAATGTCGCAGCAGAAATCGGGACTCATCAGACCAGGCAACGTTTTTCCAATCTTCTATTGTCCAATTTTGATGAGCTTGTGCAAATTGTAGCCTCAGTTTCCTGTTCTTAGCTGAAAGGAGTGGCACCAGGTGTGGTCTTCTGCTGTTGTAGCCCATCTGCCTCAAAGTTCGACGTACTGTGCATTCAGAGATGCTCTTCTGCCCACCTTGGTTGTAACGGGTGGTTATTTGAGTCACTGTTGCCCTTCTATCAGCTCGAACCAGTCTGGCCATTCTCCTCTGACCTCTGGCATCAACAAAGCATTTCCGCCCACAGAACTGCCGCTCACTGGATGTTTTTTCTTTTTCGGACCATTCTCTGTAAACCCTAGAGATGGTTGTGCGTGAAAATCCCAGTAGATCAGCAGTTTCTGAAATACTCAGACCAGCCCTTCTGGCACCAACAATCATGCCACGTTCAAAGTCACTCAAATCAACTGTCTTCCCCATACTGATGCTCGGTTTGAACTGCAGGAGATTGTCTTGACCATGTCTACATGCCTAAATGCACTGAGTTGCCGCCATGTGATTGGCTGCTTAGAAATTAAGTGTTAACGAGCAGTTGGACAGGTGTACCTAATAAAGTGACCGGTGAGTGTATATATACATATACATATATACATATATATATATATATATATATATACATATATAAACATGTATGCATATATATATATATATATATATATATATATATATATATATATATATATATATATATATATGTATATATATATATACACTCACCGGCCACATTATTAGGTACACCTGTCCAACTGCTCGTTAACAGTTAATTTCTAAGCAGCCAATCAAGTGACGGCAACTCAGTGCATTTAGGCATGTAGACATGGTCAAGACAATCTCCTGCAGTTCAAACCGAGCATCAGTATGGGGAAGACAGTTGATTTGAGTGACTTTGAACGTGGCATGATTGTTGGTGCCAGAAGGGCTGGTCTGAGTATTTCAGAAACTGCTGATCTACTGGGACACGCACAACCATCTCTAGGGTTTACAGAGAATGGTCCGAAAAAGAAAAAACATCCAGTGAGCGGCAGTTCTGTGGGCGGAAATGCTTTGTTGATGCCAGAGGTCAGAGGAGAATGGCCAGACTGGTTGGAGCTGATAGAAGGGTAACAGTGACTCAAATAACCACCCGTTACAACCAAGGTGGGCAGAAGAGCATCTCTGAACGCACAGTACGTCGAACTTTGAGGCAGATGGGCTACAGCAGCAGAAGACCAAACCTGGTGCCACTCCTTTCAGCTAAGAACAGGAAACTGAGGCTACAATTTGCACAAGCTCATCGAAATTGGACAATAGAAGATTGGAAAAACGTTGCCTGGTCTGATGAGTCTCGATTTCTGCTGCGACATTCGGATGGTAGGGTCAGAATTTGGCATCTACAACATGAAAGCATGGATCCATCCTGCCTTGTATCAACGGTTCAGGCTGGTGGTGGTGGTGTCATGGTGTGGGGAATATTTTCTTGGCACTCTTTGGGCCCCTTGGTACCAATTGAGCATCGCTGCAACGCCACAGCCTACCTGAGTATTGTTGCTGACCATGTCCATCCCTTTATGACCACAATGTACCCAACTTCTGATGGCTACTTTCAGCAGGATAATGCGCCATGTCATAAAGCTGGAATCATCTCAGACTGGTTTCTTGAACATGACAATGAGTTCACTGTACTCAAATTGCCTCCACAGTCACCAGATCTCAATCCAATAGAGCATCTTTGGGATGTGGTGGAACGGGAGATTCGCATCATGGATGTGCAGCCGACAAATCTGCGGCAACTGTGTGATGCCATCATGTCAATATGGACCAAACTCCCTGAGGAATGCTTCCAGCACCTTGTTGAATCTATGCCACCAAGAATTGAGGCAGTTCTGAAGGCAAAAGGGGGTCCAACCCGTTACTAGCATGGGGTACCTAATAAAGTGGCCGGTGAGTGTATATATATATATATATATATATATATATATATATATATATATATATATATATATATATATATATATATATATATATATATATATATATATATATATATATATACATATAAAAACTGAAGGGCCCTGGTAGAGGATCCAGGCTTGGAGGAAAAAAGGGAGACCGCATGCAGTGGTTGAGGAACAGTTTATACATATATAAATATATATATGTGTGTGTGTGCACATACACACTTGCACCTGTACACATAAAAGCATTAAAGGATCCATTGGTACCCTCTGGTGATAGCATTTAACACTGCATTTAACTAAGCTTTTTTTTTTCATATTGAAATTTCAAGCAATTACAGAAACTAAGTTGCTTGTTTGGATGGAAAAACAGAGCAAAAAGCAAAAACAGGAGCAAGCAGTGGATGCTAAAATCAAGATTAACAGCTGTTCTTGCAAAGTTACTTTATTAAAAAAAAATATGGAGAGCAACAACATACTCACTTTTCCACTGGAAGCTTCATAAACCGCTTTAATCTTCTGCCTCTGCTCGTTGCTTCTCTTCACCAGAATGGCAATGATCACATCCTCATCCACCCCTGAAAACAGACAATCATCATCACCTTTCACATGTGTTGATATGAAAGTTTCTCATATGCTTAGTCATTATACACTATATTGCCAAAAGTATTTGCTCACCTGCCTTGACTCACATATGAGCTTAAGTGACATCCCGTTCCTAATCCATAGGGTTCAATATGACGTCGGTCCACCCTTTGCAGCTAGAACAGCTTCAACTCTTCTGGGAAGGCTGTCCACAAGGTTTAGGAGTGTGTTTATGGGAATTTTTGACCATTCTTCCAGAAGCGCATTTGTGAGGTCGCACACTGATGTTGGACGAGAAGGCCTGGCTCTCAGTCTCCGCTCTAATTCATCCCAAAGGTGTTCTATCGGGTTGAGGTCAGGACTCTGTGCAGGCCAGTCAAGTTCATCCACACCAGACTCTGTCATCCATGTCTTTATGGACCTTGCTTTGTGCACTGGTGCACAGTCATGTTGGAAGAGGAAGGGGCCAGCTCCAAACTGTTCCCACAAAGTTGGGAGCATGGAATTGTCCAAAATGTCTTGGTATGCTGAAGCATTCAGAGTTCCTTTCACTGGAAGTAAGGGGCCAAGCCCAGCTCCTGAAAAACAACCCCACACCATAATCCCCCCTCCACCAAACTTTACACTTGGCACAATGCAGTCAGACAAGTACCGTTCTCCTGGCAACCGCCAAACCCAGACCCGTCCATCAGATTGCCAGATGGAGAAGCGCGATTCGTCACTCCAGAGAACGCGTCTCCACTGCTCTAGAGTCCAGTGGCGGCGTGCTTTACACCACCGCATCCGACGCTTTGCATTGCACTTGGTGATGTATGGCTTGGATGCAGCTGCTCGACCATGGAAACCCATTCCATGAAGCTCTCTGCGCACTGTTCTTGAGCTAATCTGAAGGCCACATGAAGTTTGGAGGTCTGTAGTGATTGACTCTGCAGAAAGTTGGCGACCTCTTCGCACTATGCGCGTCAGCATCCGCTGACCCCGCTCCTTCAGTTTACGTGGCCTACCACTTCGTGGCTGAGTTGCTGTCGTTCCCAAACACTTCCATTTTCTTATAATACAGCTGACAGTTGACTGTGGAATATTTAGGAGCGAGGAAATTTCACGACTGGATTTGTTGCACAGGTGGCATCCTATCACAGTTCCACGCTGGAATTCACTGAGCTCCTGAGAGCGACCCATTCTTTCACAAATGTTTGTAAAAACGGTCTGCATGCCTAGGTGCTTGAATTTATACACCTGTGGCCATGGAAGTGATTGGAACACCTGATTCCAATAATTTGGATGGGTGAGCAAATACTTTTGGCAATATAGTGTATTTGCCTGTCAGTTGCCAGGTCTGGTAATACTAATGCTAATCTGAAGTAAATATATTTACAACCCATCAAAATCTATAAAATAATTTGAATACACCAATTTTTTCAGAAGGATTTATACTTTTATTCTGCACCATTCTATAAATTCAGTAGTATTATTTTTTTTAAATGATTTGTTTTAATGAATAACTTTTAGCAATGATCTTCAAACATAAAGAAGAAAAATGTCTGCCCACTAACCTTTACTTTCGATGGCGCTCTGAAGGACTGAAGCATCACTGCTGGCATTGAAATTCGGATACGGAATTACTGTCCCGTAGTACTTTGGTTTTTCTTTCTCCTTAAACAATCAGAAATACAGGACGAAAATACAATAAATAATAGTTTAGTTCAGGAGAGGATGATACTATTCTTAGATTTATGGAGAGCTATGCAAAAATCTACACATATTATAATAATTTAGTTCAGAACATGAAACTTCTATTGTACAGGTACAGTGACCTGCTACAGACGATAGCATTGTGCCGAGCAAATTCTCAGTCATCCATGGCAACCAAAAAGCAGCATCAAATCTGAGGTAAACGCACCTTTTGAAGAGTTTTAAAAAAAATATTTTAACACCTATCCATGAGTCTTTTTTCGGTTGTGTTGGCTCACGCTAGAGCAACCTGTAGCACCATGGAGGCCTATCCACATAAGCACATTCGGAGTCAAATCTGTGTTCAAATCTCCTGGCTTGTTGGAGGCTTGTTTTGCATTTTGCCATTTGAATCAGGATCATTGTGTACTTTCAAAGGTGTGTCCTTTGTTGTTAAGGTGTGAGCAGCTGAATCTGTCCCAGATCTTCTGGCTCTCCTATGTTGCCAGTGGCGCCTACAGAAATGTTTCATAGGGGGGGCCAGATGGGGCCACTAAAAATCTTGGGGTGGCACGCTAAAACTAAAAGCCATAAATTCAAGGTTTGAATCTAATATTGAGGTAAACCTGCCTGTACAACTCACAAAGACGTAAGGAAACACCTACTTACATCTTGGTTTATTGTGTGATTTTTACATTGGCCCCTTGATTTTACGTTATTACATCATGTTCTACTCGCCCATATGAGTTTTGTGTCATTGGGAGCGGTTCTGAAGATATTCCGTTAGGTTATATCCAAGTAACGTCTTCTTATGGGCAACGACTTGAAGGCAAAAACTAAACTGTTCATATTGTATCATTTATGGTACGCCAGCATTCATAACATGTAGTCGAATCACTGTCCTCCAGAAATCGGTTATATTTTTTATATTTATTATTGTTTTAAAACAAAGCGGCGCATGTATGACATCATCCGCACACCGGCCTGGAGTTGTGACAGGCAGCCCGGGCCACAGGCGGCTACGCTCTACCCCTTATATTCATTCGGCTCGCTACACTGCAAAAAATTGAAATCTATATGAGTCATTTTTGCTTAAATTAAGTTATTTTTTTCTTAAATTGAGGAGATACGTGAGACACCTTGCCAATGGAACAAGACAATTTACATTTAAAATAAGAAAAAAACTATTGCTTTGTCTTATTTCATGTGGATATTATCTAATTATCTTATTTTAGGAGTAGAAATGCTCATTTCATTGGCAAATCATCTTATTTACCTACTAAAATTAAGGGTAAATAACACTTATTTTAAGAAATTTTGTACTTATTTCTAGATGGTTTTTGCAGTGTAACCTGAATGTCAGATTTAAAGAAAATCCTGGTGAGTTTCTCAGAAAGTCCCGACCTGTGGTAAAACAGGACGTTTCGCTTCCCATCCAGAAAGCTTTTTTTAAAATTTAAATTGAAAAAGCCTTCTGGATGGGAAGCGAAATGTCTTAAATTTCGAAAACAAAATCCAATGGATTGTTTTTTTTAACTTTTTTGGAATGACTATGATTTGGATGACTGAGAATCTTCACCAGCATGTTTTTGTGATTTTTTTCACAACAGAAGTCCGGAAAGTTAACTTTTCAAATAAATGGTTTCCATTGATAAAAGACTATTGAAACAACAGCATAAGCATACAAAAGCTGGATGATGTCTGCAATTATTATAACAAAGACTGTAGTTCCCATCCTTCGCTGTGTGTTCAGGTGCTGGCCTCAATCTGTATTTTACATTTTTTTAAGACTATTTTCAGGTTTTGGAAACAGATTAAATTGTATTCCATTAGTGTAATGTCTGAAGACAATCTTCTCCACTTTTATCGAAGATTTTGCACAAAATATCCATGATTAGAACGGGTCTGCAATTCAGAATTCAAGAAAAGTTTTTAAAAAATATATAAAAGATGGTGTGTTTCCCTTCAGGATAAAGTGTAAACACCATTCGGACAGTTGCTGAAAAGCTCACTGGATTGATTGACAGGTGATATGATGTCAACTGCTCACAGATTTACATATTTCTGATGATTTCGCTGATTATGGATTAGACCTCATTAATAAGCAAAGTTCGATTTCCTAAAAAAAGTAGAGAAATATTCCTCCCAAGAATGTGGCGATACCTGCTTTTAGCTTTTCCTTCTACTAAACGTTCCATTTATATATTTATATACAGAATATTGAACAAAATGCTGCTCAGAAACTACATTTTGTTGTGTAAAAATCTGGATCTGCCTTATTAAGTATTTATTTCCTCAGAACCAAATTGTGGGTTTTAATTAGCAATGACCAACATTTACTGAAATACATGTTCAAAATATATTACTTTGAGTTAAATCTGAATATATGTCAGGTTTATATCAGAGTCATTTAACAAATGTAGACATTCAGCTATATTTTCATTTCATATAATTCATTAACCTGCATGCTCACCTTGACAGACTCCTTCTCTGGGTCTCTGTCATGGACGTTATCTTTGAAGAACTTCTTGAAAATTGACATCTCAACTGGATATTTGAAACAAGTTTCAGAGGTTTAGACTGCGGAGAATAAATCATGTAGATATAAGTAACATATATGATTTAATTGTCACATAAAGTGGAGGACTCAAAAGCAAGATAAAAAAGAGGGAAGTCAGAAGCCAAATGCTGGAAAGCAGAACTAATTAACAGATAAAGGCAAATAATCAAAATATTGACAGTGTGAAACAAGCACAGGAAGCTACACTGAAATTAAATCATGAGCACAGAAACAAAAATAACCATACGGTAAATAAACACATAAGTATATATAATAAAATAAACCAAAAGGGGAAAAAAATAAGTTTGAAAATTGACAGATTTCTTGTTTAAACATCTAGAATCTTACCTGAGTCAAAGAAGATCACCTTTCGGTCTGCAGACGGTTGGAGTGAGTTTAGATCACGCCCATCTCCACCCTTTGCTGTTAGAGTTGTATGACCAGCAGCACATCAGCCAATCATCTGTCAGCTTTTGTCACTTGTCTCTGAAATCTGCAGCAGCTCCCCTGTTCAGTCTTAAACTTCTTACCGCCTAACATGAGCAGATCATGACTCATAGAAAGGGTTCAGAAAGCAACTAAAAGCCTAAACAGTGAACCCATAGAGACTAATGCAGAGATCCAGGAACACACCCATTGTTGTTTCTTGAACAACTGACGCGGTTAAACCAGATGTTCCACATTCTTCTCTTCAGCGTTTTGCTGTTAAAGGAGAGCTGTGCAGATGTCATAAAAAAACAAAAACCTTTTTACTTTACTGGGCAAAAGAACCTTTAACAAAGCGGGCTTTTATGATAAACAAATATAATTTGAGGCATAAAATATTGGTACAAAAACAATGTCAACAAGCTTTGCGCTTCAGGATGCAATCAGAATTAGACACATGGATCGTTTTAACTTCTTTGTGTTTGTGTTTCTGTGTTTGTCTCCCTTCCTCCACTAGGAGGCGCCTGGTTCTAATCCGCCTCCTCACACACCTGCTGATGGTTTCCTCGTTAAACGGAGTGTTCTTACGCTGCTGACTGCCGCTACCTCGACGCCAGAATGTTTGCCAGTTTTGGGTACTCTAGCCATGCTTAGTTTAGCAGAGTCTAACCTGAGTTTTTGTTTGCCAGTTTAGGGTACTCTAGCTAAGCTGAGTTTTTGTCAACCTGAGTTTAACTTTGTTTTTGTCTTTGCCTCTCGGCAGGAAGTCATCCTGCAAACTGGATTTCTCTGACCTTCACTCCCTGGAAGGATCAACTGAGCTTGGGTTCAAACAGGAGGTTTGGATCCACTTTCTCCAAGAGATCGTTTGAGCTTCTCACTGAGAAAGGGATTATTCTCCACTATGACCCGTTTAAGTACCGCAGGAAATCTGAGTGGTAGTCAGTTTCTCCGTTCACCAACTATCAACCGCATTCTTGGTAAAACCTGTTCCGCCCTCCACCGAATCAGACAAACACTGGAATTACAGCACACAGACAGGAGTCAACGATTCAACAACTTCTCTGGAAAAGGTGAGTCGGCAACCAAATCCTCTTCTCCAAGTTCACGAGTCAAATTCCCCACTGAGCCTGAACTAACCGCTGTGTCTTCCCCCTCACTTTACAGTTCCGGTTGAGCAGTGTTCAGAGCAACACTTCTCCCTCTGTTTAACCTCTTCAATAAAACCCGTTAAACCTTTTCCTTGGTCTCTCTGTTCGGTTTTTCTGCATTTGGGTCTGAACTTTGTAACATCATGACAGATTGGAGTGAAGTCATACCTGGACATGACAGAATTATCCCCCATCGTGTACAAAGAGCTAGCTTTCTTTGGAGTTTGAGTAGTAGCAATATTAATTTGTCTCTATCCATTATCTGCACAGATCTAAAAAAGACAGATAGACTTTGTGTCTCCTGGTAGTATACCTTTGTTCCTTCTGGTGATTTCAATGCCTTTATAAGCCAGAGGTGAAATACTGTTCCTTCCCCAGATGGACATACCTCGATTAGATCACAACTTTTTAAAAATCTTTCCGTGTGAAAGAGATACTTTTTGCTGCCCCAGGCGATAGTGCTGCCCAGTCTATTTCCAAAGGCTATGGCATCCAAGAGAAGAAAGGGTTGAGGGCTGAAACGGAGACAAGCCCATAACTTTAGGAATTTTCGTTTCCCCAGGAACCCTATCACTAAACCATACAAAGAGCCAAGAGAGCAGTCCACGTTCTCCAGCTGACACCCTCCGACTTAAGGGCTGGTTATCCTCCTGCAGCAGTGTGTCGCAGTCAGCTTGTTGCTGATATTTCTGATTTATGCCCAATATTGAAGCGTGGTCTGCGCTATGTTATTACATGCCACAATGCAAGAGGGACAATCACGAACCAGCTGTGGGCCTAGATAGTGATAGCTAGGTGATGAGGAAGTGGGGGCAAGTTTTTGCGACAATGGAGGGACATGAGGGTAAAAGAGAGAAGGGATCCAGGTGGAGAAAGGGTCCCAGCTTTCTTGCGCACCTCGCTCCTCTATCTGCTCCAACTTCACGAGTCGTTTTCCACAATGGCGGTCATACAAACAAAACAAGCCACTAAGGTACCAAACAGGAAACACGCATAGTGTAGAGCTGACGTAAATTTGACGTATCAGATGTCTGTTTGTGACACTGTCTGCGGTCAAATGTGATTTTGGAAAGGTGCAGCAGAGTGTCTGTGGAAGGGGCACATTTGCACTGCAACACACACGCAGATGACCTGGTTTGTGAACATAAATCTGCCTTTAGAGGGCCTAACTGTCTGAGCTGACTACAAACCTTTAAGTTGTGGGTTGAAGGTACCAATAGAACTACATCATCTACAAAAACGAAACAAACTATTCTCCAAATGAGCTTTCACTTTCTGGACCAGTTGCCCAGAATTTTTGACTTAATTTGCACTGTGGTAGTATACAGAACAAGTTTAAAGACGCTTCGCTTCCCATCCAGAAAGCTTTTCCAATTCAAAATGTCAGAAATAGGGTTGAGTTTGAGGCTTTATAGAGTGGACCAAAATAAAGCCTTGTTTTGGCTTAGAACACATGCAAACATCCATCCCCTTTGGAATGAGGATTGTTTGGTTTTTTGACAACGGACCCGTTCGTCGGGTTCAATTTGCATGTTTTGTAAGCCAAAACAAGGCTTTGTTGTGCTACTCTTTAAAGCTACAGTGTGTAATTTTCAGCGACATCTAACGTCCAGACTGCAGACCGCAGCAACATGAACATCTCCCCCCCACCGCTTCTCCCCCCCAACAGTACGGCGAGCGTTACGGGACAAAATGTCTTCCACGACGTCCGCATCACCTACCTTCTCAAGTGATGAGGTTTGTTTACATAGATAATTTTAATACTGCCATCTATTGTTCAGTACCGTCTCAGTTCATCTCTCTCAACTTGCCGTAGTTACTTTCGAGCGTAATGGGCGATCTCGCAATCGCTAGTTTGTTGGCTCTGCGCTGCCGTAGCGCAAAGATGTCTGCCTCCATGGCTGCGAGACCCGCTCCTATGTAATTATAAATAACGAATTCTAAGGCAACGCAAATATTAAGGTTAAGAGGCTGAGCTCGTAGATGATGATAAATAACATAGTTATGTATAATATATTACATTTCTGACTGTATATCCCTGTAATTATTACACACTGTAGCTTTAAAGCAACAAACTCAAAGCTATTTCTGACATTTTGAATTGAAAAAGCTTCCTGGATGGAAAGCGAAACGTCTTCAAACTTGGAAACAAAGTCCAGTGGATTGTTAACTTTTTTGGAATGACTTTGACCTGGATGACTGAGAATCTCCACCCGCATTTACAGAACAAGGAAATTGAAGGATCCAGACGTAGAACAATTTAAGAATATTGCAGGACTTTGTATGATCAGGATAATTTAGCCAGAGCCATATAGGTGAGAGAGTTCTGGCAACTCAACTGACGACAATAAGCAACATTTCAAAGCCCAATGGTGACACACGGAGCTTAAATAGTTCGAAGGCCGTTAGCCACTCATGCTAGCATTGCCATAGACATTAGTAAACCATACTAAACTACAGGAAAATACAGATCTTAAATATCACATCATGGTCTCTGCTTCTAACGAGCATTAGGTTGTAATAATACAGAATATGATTGAGATGGAGTTTATTACTTTATTAAGTAAGTTTATTTGTTACATGCACAGTTATACATAGTACATTACATAGAATAAATGTAAATTATTATACTTAACAGAGCTAAAAGACTGGAGAAATTTGCCACCGATTATGAGTTCCTGTAAGATTATAATTTAATCCTGCCCTTATCTTAGATCATTATATAGTTTGTTTAGCCCTATGACAAAAGGGTTTAAACTGCTAAAGTATCAACCATGAGGTATTTTATCATTGGTGCTCTTTGAAGTGCTTGGTAAACTTACTGCTGAAAATGAAAGTGATGTGTGAAGTTGAGGAGAAACTGAGACTATTGCAAGATAATTTACAAATGTATTTAACAGCCTCAGACGAAGAGCTCTGAAGGGGCAAGCTCAGTACATACATTTATGCAACAATTCCCAATACACACACACACTCCCTTGGAACTATCCCACCCCAACATAAAGAACTTTCTGACACACAAACATTTGGAGAAAAAAACAACTTGAGTTCATAAAAACCATTCCCAGTTAGGTTAATATATCTTTCACTGGCCAGATGGATCTTCGCAAAACAGCAGTCCTCCCCTTCATACCATGAAGGAGGCTGTTTGAACTCATTCTTATCTTTAATTACCTTTGTTTGGGGCCTGTGAGGCTAAGAAAAGACTTATCTCAACATTTTTTACTCCACAGCTGCATTGGTGAACCTGCAACCAATGTTTGAAGCCCTCAGTCTTCGGCCGAGGGGTTCATGTCCTGGACCGTGAACCTTTGCAGTGTGTCTTCTCTTTCTCGTTCAACTCTATATCCTGTTAGTTTGCTATCAAATAAATTAAGCTAAAAAGTATTCATGGTATTCACAGGCTCACCGTTAAACCTTAAGATGTTCCAATAAGCTCCATAATTATGAGGAATGGAAGGTGCTCATGGTAAGATCTCTGACGGAGTCAAAAAAAATTATCACTAGAGTTATCCAAAAGGCGGAAACGATTTAAAGAGAACTTCAGGAAAAAAAAAATGGAATCAGCAGATATAGTTTTTTCGATTGAGAAAAGAGCTTATTGTCTTCATGTCCGTCACTCCACTCGCAAGACTCCACTGCTGAAGAAAAGCTGATTTAATAGAGTTTGTTGCAAAGTATTTAAACAGTGAAGGTCATGGAGATATAGGGAGAATATGGTCTGAAGATCAGTGTTTACAACAAGCATTAAATAAATACCAAACACCAGGAAAACAGACATTAAATATTAAATAAATACATTCTACAAACCATGTCCATTTCCTGTGATCAGGCCATGCACATTGCTCCATTCTACTTCATCGTAACTTCATATTTGTACTAATTGTTTGAGACTTTTCTATTTATTTAAAAAAATAATAATTATATGGTTATATGGGTTAAAGTTCGTTTCTGTGTATTGGATGTCAA